TCATTTTACCAGTGGTGAAATTCAAATGTTTTTACTACCGGTTCTGTGGGTGTGGCTTGGTGGGCGTGGTGTGGCTTGGTGGGCGTGGCAGGATACTACAAAATCTCCATTCCCACCCCACTCCTGGGATAAGGATATTGCAAAATCTCTATTCCCATCCCACTCTGGGGCCAGCCAGAGTTGGTATTTGCCAGTTCTCTGAACTACTCAAAATTTCCACTACCGGTTCTCCAAACTGCTCAAAATTTCTGCTACCGGTTCTCCAGAACCCGCTGGATTTCACCCCTGCATTTTACATGCTGAGCTATTTCTTGCAATATTCAGCTTTCAGGACCTGGCAAGCTAATAATTCTGCATTATAGAGAAGAAGAAATAGTCAGTAGCACTGCAGAGGCATGATCTCGTTTCTGGCGGTGGAATATTAACACACACACACCAGACTGAAATGTAAGATTATTTCTGAAATTGTTCTCCATGGATAAGCAAAGGGTCAGGACCAATATTCAATTATCCCAGTCACAAGTATCCTGAGAAGTTGAGAGACTCTGAGTTTCCTAGACTCACAATTTTTTTTTTTTTAAAGGATAAAACACTCTTGGTGTCTTCTCAGTCATTAGTTCTTTCAAGTGCCAGACTGCAGACATTTCTAGGACACACCATCAATCATTTCAAACCATCTTTTTCAATTAAATTTAATAGATCCAGACAATATTTGAGGCCCCCTAAATTGGAGACATAGAAGGTGAGGCAGACAAAATGTTTGAATAAAATTCTTTTATGACACAAGCCACCAAATACTTTTTACTTACTGGGCAGATTTGCTGCAATGCAGCTTTATGTTCCTTTTGTTCAGTGAGAACAAACATTCTGATCATGAGCCTTAGTCAGTGTGACCGATGTTTAGAAAGGGAGGAAGGCAGTGTCCAAAATTACCTGGAAGGCTGCTTCAAGCTGCACTTGAAATGGTACACGTTGTCTTCCGATGCCAAAGGAACTTTGTAGGTTTAGGTTTAGGGATTTTTCTTATGCTCACCAGAGTAAGTTCCCCTGTTATTTCCATGAAGATGCTCAGGTAAAATTGTCTGAAGGTTGAGTCACGGCAACGGGACGTATTAGCCAGAGAGGTGTGATCACCATCAAGCCGATGCTCTGATGGCATCCTTTTGACTTCCACCTTGAGTCTCTCCCCCCTCACCCCCAATAATCTGCAGATATTCCTGAGAGAAGTTTCTCTTACCCTTTAAGTGAATTACAGTAAAAGGAAACATTATGATTGGTAATAGTTATATTTACCTTCCTACCTAATTTACTGTAGTTACCTTATAGGAGTAACATGGCAATAAAAGATAAAAGATTTTTCTAAGTCGAAGTGTAAAGGACTTCTGAAATAAATATGTTGCAAATAAATATAAACACTTGCTTTTAAATGAAAATTCATCTACCCAGCCTTCACCAACTGGCAGAAACAAAATAACAAGTTGACTTCTCAGGGCCACCAGAGCAGCATCTATGGATCTTGCCCAACTTGGCAATAGATAAAAGAGGGAGGGAGATGGAGGAAGAGAGGGGGAGAGGGAGAGAGAGGGGGGGAGAAAGAGAGGGAGGGAGGGAGGATAGTTTCCTTCCACTCAACTGTGTCTGATTCTTGGAAACTGCCTGGAACAAATCCTTGCAGTTTTCTTGGCAAGGTTTCTTACAAAAGTGGTTTGCCATTGGCTCCTTTCCAGAACTGAGGAAAAATGACTGGCCCAAGGTTACCTAGTTGGCTTTGTGCCTAAGGAGGACTAGAACTCAGTCTCCCAGTTCCTAACCTGATGCTTTAACCATTGCACCAAATTGGCTCTCAGGTTTATATTACAAAATCCTAATACAACCATACTCCAGTCTAGCAACAATTTCCTGGAAACAGAATTTTCAGTACCTAGAGGGGGTAAAAAATGGGTTGATCCATTGAGTAGGCAATGCCTTCCCTCCTTTTGTTTTCAACCCAACTACCATATTTTTTTTAAAAAACCCTGATGCAGTCATGGTTTAAAGCTCCTGTATTTAGTCCATTTATCAGAGTAAGCAGTCCATTAGTCCCAATTTGGAAGACAGAAGTTAGGTGTATTTTTTTTAAAAAAAAAAATCTGCCCACTGGTTCCAACCTGCTTCTACATTTGGGAGAGAAGGTGCAACATGTCAAGAGTATGAAAGTCCAAAAACTCCTACCACCATTTTTTTCCCCTTTAGATTATAATTTATTTTTCTTGGCTCATTTGTCTCCTTTCCCAGCTTTTTATCCTGTATCAGAAAGAAATCCAAGCAAACATTGATAGCAGTGAAGTTACTTCCCGTGATGGAACAGGGTATGGATTCAGTAATTGAAATCCAATACAGAGCAAAAGCCAGCCATTTCAGTCTGGCATAGTATTGCAAAATATTCAGTTCAAAAAAAAATTCAATAACTGTGGCCAGCCAAGAATTCATGTCTCCTCTCTTATCAAAGAAAAATTATTTTCAATATAGTATAACGCTGCCCTTCTTAAAGGCAAGCTAGCCTCCATCCAAATTTTATAATCCGGCTGGAAGAAATTTACCATAAGTTAGAAAGTTCTGAATGGATCTGAAACTTTCCCAATTATTGATTTAGCTGGTGTTTTTCTTTTCTTATAGGTCAGGAAGCTATGTGCTAATTCAATATGAGAAAAGTACACATAAAGAATCAAAGACATCCTGGTTGCATAATGTAAGTGTAACACTTAATAGAGAGATGACAGAGACTGCATCTGTCTTTTCTTCTTTCATAATTCCACATGTTGCCATATTATGTACAGACACGCATCACATTTTATAAAAGGACTTCTACCCTTTGTGACATGAAATACATGCCTACATACAAGAAGACTTTTAAAGAGACAACACCTCTGGCTTTCAATCACTCATACGCCAGTAAAGAGATGAAATGATTGAAAACAGAAGTTTTCTACCCATTGATCTGATAGAAATTTTAGAAAAATCATAAACTGGCACTGAAGACAGAACTGAATGCAAACAAGTGCTTCTTTTGTAATTCACACTTTCACTAGCTGGCATTTGAACTAGCTGGAGAAAACATACAGACACAGAAACCAACATGGACATGATAATTCTAGTTCACACCAGGGCTATTATGATAACCCACAATTTGAGAGCATTCACATTTCTGCAAATACCTTATATACTATAGCAAGGTATTTTGAGAAAGCAGTTTGCAGTCACCAAGCTTCATATTTTTCTATTTGGCTCTAGCGACCTCTAGTGTCTGGTTGCAAAACTACAGTACTATAATCTTCTGGCTGTCATGCTAGAAAGTGAGTTATTTTTATTGGAAAGGCTATTTTTGATCCATTTTGATTGATTGATTGTCCAGTTGACTTCTAATTGTTACTTGTCAAAATTAGGTTTAGGTACACAACTTCTGAATTCTAAAATTAGATATACAAAGCTGGATTCACAGAAATGGAAAAGGATTTTAAATAACAAATGGGAAGTATTTGACTTGAACCTGCACCTTCTTTATGAAAAACTGTACTAAATTATATTATCCTTTGACAACATTATTTCCAAGGAATCATAGTACATAACTGTAATTTCAATAGTAAGAAAGGGGGATATATTCTGTTGTGCAAGTCACTTTTTCATTGATGTGTTTAAAAAAATAGTAAGGAACATATGTGTCTCTTAACCCTATGGTTTTTCAAATTATCTGTGATAAAGGACCTTTTTTTATTTTTAACCAATAATTTTGTAACATTCTTTAAAAATGATTAAAGAAATAAAAGGTTTTAAATGGTGAATTTTATTCATCTCTCTCGGGAGTCTTGGCATTTGGGCATATCTTCTATTTTTCTGAGACAACCACCTTCAATTTAATCAACAAGATCGCTGCGAACAGGTGGACATTCCTCTGGATATTCCTTTTGGTGGGGTAATTTTGTGAGCCTCTCCACAAAGAGTATTGTTTAGTATACATATTGCTTGTCATTTTACGACCTTTCTTGCCAGTGTTAGTGAAGTGAATCACTGTAGCTGGTAAGTTAGTAACCAGGCTTCCCCATTGACTTTGCTTGTCAGGTCATAAAAGGGGATCATACAACCACAGGACACAACAAGCTGTCATGAATATGAACCAGTTGCCAAGTGTGTGAATTTTAATCATATGATCATTGGAATGCTGCAAAGGTCATAACTGTGAAAAACGGTCATAAGTCATGTTTTTCAGTGCTGCTGTAAATTTGAACAGTCACTGAATGAACTGTTGTAAGTCGAGGACTACCTGTATATACAGAGTGAGATCACCTCAACTACTTCCCAACATGTTATTTTCCACAACTGTTTATGTAGATCACAGCGCTATGCACATCTGAGCATAAGAGCCATTGAGTGGGTATCAGTCATGAGTAAATATACTGTATAAAAGTTGCTCAATGCTCCTGCTCAATTCACACAATTGCTTTTCATTGCCATAGGCAGTTCAATACGTACCCAAAGGGAAGTTGTGGAAGTCTACAGATCAAGTTGCACAAGCAATGACATTTGAAGCAACTTCGGCTCTCAAGAGATTGGTTTGTAAACTTTCTCAGGCTGTTTGTATCCATGTTTTTCAGCCATTAATTCCCACAGCAGTGCAGTTACAGCTTGCTACTTCCCATACAACTTTAAGCAGTTTTTCCTGAGCATCTCCTGCAGGCAGAATTCACTTCAGCCAACATTTTAATTGCCTTTTCTTACTCATTCCAAGCAATAGGCACCTTACCAAAGCCTTTAATATAATTTTCCCCAAAAAATGTTTCTATTAGCTAGCTGAAGGAACAGGAAAGGCTGACTTTTTAATCATACACCCAGCTAAGTTATAATGTGCATGTATTGTAATTGCATGAATGCGATAGTATTGAAGCTTCATCATTGGGAGAAAAAGAATACACTTCCACACATTTTCTCTCACTGAAATCCTTGACAGGATCAGAAGAAATGCAAGATCAGTTTCATTTGCTCAACTTTATTCAACCAAAATTCAATGTTCTAGAAAATACATATAACTTCCTGTTGACAAGTTAACATTTTTATGAAGTCTTGAAGCCGAAAGAAAGGCGGGGAAATAGAATCGCACTACCAACCAGTTCCTCCTTCAGCATTAATCAGGTATAAAGAGTTATCAAATCAATATTATGGGCAATGTGATTGAAGGGTCATAGAACCAATTACAGCTGCAATCTTGTGCAGGTTTTTTTAGAATTAACTCCCATTGTTTAAAGCAGGGGTGTCAACTCACGGCGTCATGTGACTTATCGGGTCGTTTTCCCCCTTCGCTAAAACAGGTGTGTGCGTGGCCAGCGTGTGACGCATCCGGCCCGCGGGCCGAGAGTTTGACAATCCTGGTTTAAAATGAGTATGCAGAGGCAAACATGCAGAGGATTGGGCTGTAAATAGTACAGGATCACAGCTACATTGTATCTCAGTCTAGTTTATTTTATTTTATTTTTTTTAAAAAGCTTTGCCTTTATAATCATCTGTTAGTCTTAAACTGTATCTTAAACGTTATGTTTAAACATTGTTTATAAATTAAACCTCTTAGTGTTTATTGCTACCACACACAAAAATAAAATAATTTAGGATATTGGAAACAAAGTATTTTGGATTCTTATCATATGATATACTTATCACATATTGAGCACATTCAGATGTCAGCCTTAACCAAACCATTATAAGCACCAGCAGCATCTTACAGGCTCCCTCCTGATTTTGCATGGCAACAAATCATCATCTATCCATAATCCAGGATTAAACTCTAACTTGGAGTGATAATTTAGAAACAAACAATGGAATCCAGTTGAAAACTGGATTGCAAAAGACAATCTCTAAATGTCTGAAATTCAAACAAAAGTAATCATTTTGTGTTTTCAGAAACACTGTGCAATTTATATTACCCTAATCTGTTAATTCAGTTATGCTCTAAATGTGAATTCTTTTAAAAGGTTTTTTTTTTCCTTCAGTGCCTTCAAGTAACTCTTTATTCCTACCCATAAGCAGGAAACAAGCCCATTTAAGTAGTGGACGCATGCATTCGTTTGATTGAAAAGGTAAATAATATAATATCCAAAGTATTCAATATACATATAGTGCAAAAAATAAAAATAATTCCCTTTTCACTGCTTAACCATGCAGTGTTATTCAGGGTCTATTGAATATATATATAGACAGAATCTGGCTAAAGCTAGTTGCATATAAAATGAAATCCAGCTAACCTGTCTGAACTTTATTTAAGCCAATTGATACCCAAATTCAAATAAAGCTAGCAGCTAATTTGTAATACTAGGGCAGAGAAACTAGCCCCATTTACAGATGCCACATAAATACAGCACTTGGTTCTGAATTCATTTTAAATACAGTAGTACTTTGTGCTTTAATATCTAGACATAAGCTTCTCCAATAAGCTCGCTGGTTGCAAACCTCAATTGCTGAAATTCTTAAGTTTGAAATATCAATGAGGTTAGGCTGTTCATTGATCTCTGGTTTTTTTTAAAAAATCCAGGCAGCAACTAGATGGCAACAGAGACACATGAAAATCTTGGATTTTTGCACCCCGCTTATGTACCATCTAATGAACTACAACAGCAACTGAAAAAGAGAAAATTAATAGTATATCCATCCCAATTTAGTTGGCGTCATACAGATTTCCTTTAAAATAGTGGGGGAGGGACGGGATTCTCTGCCAGAAGCTTCCACGAAGGAAAATCTGCACTATGTTTAGGAGCATATGTGGAGCACAGACATAAAAACAGTCTTTCGCAATGGTTTTTAACTTTTGCATCTATAATCCGGATTTATGGAAGATTATTTCACAATCAAATGAGTCAGCTTTTGGACAAGAGATTGTAAAACAGCTTCAGTCAATAATATTTGAACAAGATTAGCTCTCTCAAAGCCATCTTGGAAAGAGACTCTGCTTCTAAATTTGTCTTTAGCATTGAGCTGCAGAGCCTATTGTTACTAGAGAACCAAAGAGAAAATAAAGCAACCCTGATGTACAAGTTGAAGCCAAATTATGTCCATTTTCTTAAGAAAAAAAAAGCCAATAGATGAACATGTGGTCATAGCTGTGTGCCTTAGTTCAGAATCTTACTAATATAGAGGTAACAGTCCACTGTTAATTAACATTGAGCAGGATTGTGTCCTTTCCATAAGCCATCATAAATAAATGGCTGGTGAGAATTGGGCCCATGGTGTAAGGATTAGACACTAATCATAATTGCCACCAACATCAAAAGAGATCCAAGAACTCATTAAGAATTATCTTACAAAAATAATTACATTTAAATTTGCCAGCTCTAAAGCTGTATTTCCAAGCCCTATAAAAAGGCAATCTTTGAAAAGCTGCGGCTCAGAATTGGCATGGTGCAAATGAAAGTTATTTCAAAAGCGCTTTGAAAGGGCAATTGCAGCTGGTTGTTGTGTCACAATTATTAATATTGCATAGCTGAGAAATGAGGTCACTTGACTTGCATTAACCCTGCAAGTTTACCCACAGAAGAGTGACACATACCATTTGCTAGTGATAAGTGGCTCTTAGCTGAAACCAATGCCGTTTATGAACAGCCAGCACACAAGTTTCTAATTCCCCCACCCACCCCCGTTTGTCACATGGGAACCTAGGGGCCACTTTATAGTAGAGCTAGACAGCAACATACATTGCCTATCAGTGGTGGAATGTAGCATGCATATAGCTTTGATAAGAAGTTGGATTTTAGTGCATATACATTTGTAGAAATACTTGCATCATCAAATGAGGTAAACATGGCATCTTACTACTTCGCAAATTCCTCAATTAGCATCACAGAGCAAAAAGAAAAAAAATCTCATCATAGTTCAAAGACGTGACTGATTTACATACCGTGGTCTTCACATGCAGATTACTGGAAGCGTTTTTCACCTGTTGCGTGATTCACATGTGCTACAGGCAGGATTAACAGAATCACACCCAGATGATTCCCCAATGAGGATGACAGAATTTATACTCAGACATCATCCTAGAGATTTTTGAGCAAAAACTATGGTGGCCAAATCTTCTTGGGAGGTTTGTGTGGGTAGTGAGGGAAAAATAGAAAGTTTAAATCCTGTTCCATGTCTACTTGTTTATAAAGCATTTAATGTTATTTACTACCATCACATGCAAAGCCCTAGTTCACGTTTAACTTTCAGGCAGGATGAGACTTGTTTGCTTTTAGCTAAATGTCAACTCAACTCATTTATTGCTCAGCAATAAACATCCGAGCCAGGCCTGACTAAGCTCTGTCAAAATCTCCATGGCATTCTCAAATCTTCCTCAGAAGGACTAGAGATTTGCCACAGGAGGTCCATATTCAATGACTCTGAATGGAACTTCTATGTGGAGAAAAGGAAGCTGTACTTTATTCACCCTCAAACTCAGTATAGAAAATGCAATTGATGCAATGTAGTTATTGTTCCCAGCTTTGAAAAAATAAATTCCTTAGTGACAGGCAACCTTAGTAAAAAGGAAGAAAGACAAATGAAGAAAATGCCATGTATTTTACCTTAAAGTATGTGTTAAACAGACAATAATCAGTTTACTGCTCAAAGAGTTTTAAACAGCAGCTATAATTATTCTATGTGCATTCTTACCCTTTGGTACTATACCCTCTCTGCCAATATACAAAAAAGAACAATTAAGAGTTTGTTTTTAAAAAGAAGAAATCCCTTATAAAAAAAATAATCCAGTCTTGCCTTTAGAAACACTTACTGAAAATTATGTTCAATTGCATTTTCTGCTTCACTAATGTTTCACAGTTGCTTTAATTACAGAAAAAGTGAAAGCAAGACAAATGATTTAAATGCTTTTCTTAAATCAAAATAAAACAGAAAATGTATTAAAGAAAAAGATAGTGACGAATAGGGAAATAGATGCTTTGGGGAATGTTACCTGACTGAAAAATTGGAAGAAAATAAGAATATATTTTGAGCAACAGAATTATTTTCCATGTGGTGGTAGTTTTGATTTTAAAAAAATTTTTTTTAGCTATAATAGGATTGGATATAGATAAAGTTGTATAGCTGGACATCTTCCCTATTCTGAGAAGTCACTTACCTTTCCTTTTTTTAGAATAAATTAATTCCAAATCATTTTTGCTTTTACATATAGAACAGCAAACGTGTGGATAACATTTGGAAGGATAGCTCTGACTAGAAGAGTTAAACGATGATGAAGTGAAAGACACTTAAAAGTTCTAAATATCTTGGGCAACTGATAATGTATGGTCAAATGCATGAGAGGTATATGCAGGAACCCAGTTCCTTCTAATCAAAGCTTAGCTGGGATTTCCTAGAAGATTGTTCCAGTCTTCTTGATATCCCCTTTGATCTTCTGAAGATGCATTTCCATAGAAAACCTTGCCCCAAATTACCTCTGCTCTTGTACTTGGCAGTACCTTATCATTCTGGCACAATACTGCGTCTGTTCCTAAGTGGCTTATGGTCCACCTGAAATCCCCGAATCGTCATAAAAGTTGCAATGTGGAACTTTGTGGCATATTTCCATCATTCTACACCACAGATGGCAAACTCGATTGCGTCACATGATATATTGCAACGTATTGTGACTTTTTTGCCTTTGCAGAGCCAGAGTGGGCGTGGCCTGCACATGACGCATCTGGCCCACAGGCCGCCAGTTTGACAGGCCTGTTCTACACTGTTGAAGATGACACAATATCACAGTACCAAAAACAGATTGCAGGTTCAGCTTGCTTTTTCTGATTAGTTTTTCAATTGTTGCCAACGAATATATTACATTTCCCCATCACTCCACTCCACCAAAGTCAACCTTGAGAAAAAAAAAAGTCTGTTCAAAAAGCAGTGGAACACTGCATTTCAACGGTGTTTCTGGTGTTTGGGCATTTGAAGTTCAGAGAAACACACTACTTGGCTCATCAAGCCAATTTGATGAATCTGGGTTTTTGCCACAAGAGAAAAATCATACAGTGGATACTTCCAGCACCCAAAATTATACATTTACAGTAGTCAAATAGGATATGTACACAGATTGGATACAATACAGCAAATAAACTTCGGGTCGGCTTCCCTGACAGTTTTTCTAGTTTCTGTGGGTGTAATTAAGTATTTATAACCAAGTAAAAAATTACGTCTAATACTTAATTCACTGTCAGTAGTAAAGAATTCTTTTAAAAAAGTTTCTCCCAGTCACAAGCTGTAGAGAAACATTTCCTCTTTCTTGAGAAATTCACTTCAATCTCAATCCTGGCTGTACATAAAACAGCTCACACAAAAACAGAACAGAACACCCACAAAATAAGCAACACCTTATTTCTGGAATTTGTTCCCAGCAGTGGCATGTTGAGAAGAAAGGGATGCTCTTATTATATATGCTTGTCAGACTAGAAGTGCGGCGTTAGTATGGCAATTAAAAATCCCCCGTGTCTTCCAAAACACAACTAGACAGACATCATTTCTTGTGTTGCATTCACACAAATGGGTGTCACAATGGTTTATGGATCACAGCTACACCTGCAAGGGAGAAAAGTAGATGGGTACTCAATGTATTCTATTCAAGTTGATTAGAGACTAATTTTCACTTCAATGAAACATTCAAGCTCTTGAGCCTTCAACTAGTGAGTCTTTCACAAATGAAGTCTCCTTTGCTTATCATTGTTACAGCAGATAGATTCCAAACAGGTGTATTATTCTGTCACATGTATACCACCGATGGGAGTTATTATTGACTGAAAGCATAATATTGATGGGAGTTATTATTGACTGAAAGCATAATATTGTACCCAGTCCTGAAGTAATCAGCAAAAATTGACACAGTTGTTAATCACTGAGTACCATATTTTTCAGAGTATAAGGTGCACTTTCCACCCCCCAAAAGAGGGTGGAAATGTTGGTGCGTCTTATACACCGAATACAGCCATTTTTGGCCTCCTGAAGCCCCACCCTGCTAGTCCCATTTTTGCGAAAAATGGCCCTATTTTTGCGAAAAATGGGGCGCGCAAAGGGTTTGGGAGGCCTGCAGAGTGCTCCTGGGGGCCGGGGAGGGCAAAACCCTTTTTTTTTTTTCTTACTTACCTCTTCAAAATCTTGGTACGTCTTATACACTGATGCGTGTTATAGTCCGAAAAATACGGTAATTTACTAGAAAGTCTATGAGAAATTGCTAATTCACTTCGTTTGAGAAATACACTGTTTGGTTATAAAATGATAAATGAAAAACAATACAAACAACCATACAGGTAGTCTTCAATTTATCACCATTTGTTCAGTGATCGGCCAAAATTATGCCAGTGCTAACAAACCAGTCCCTGAAGTTATGGCTGTTGCAGTGATCAAAATTCAGGTGCTTGGAAGCCCACCTACACTAATCCTATCCCTAACACCTTCACGAATTTGTATTCTTCAACTCCCCCTTATCCACCACTCTCCCATATCTATGCCTTTTTGGCTGCCTGTTGCCTTATTTATTTATTATTATTTATTAGTTCAATTTATATGCCGCCTTTCTCTGAAGACTCAGGACGGCTTACAATACATTTAAAAAACCATTATAAAAACATTTACAAATTAAAACATTAAAACCCATTCACACCATTCATGGCCGGATCTCACAAGATCGCAACAGCGAGATCAACGGCCCCAGGCCTGCCGGAAAAGCAAGCTCTTCACCACTTTTCGGAAGGCCAATAGGGTGGGAGTGGTCCGGACCTCAGGAGGTAACTGGTTCCAGAGAGTTGGGGCAGCCACAGAGAAGACCCTCCTCCACGGGCCCGCCAGCCGGCATTGTTTAGCTGATGGGACCTGGAGGAGACCAACTCTGTGGGATCTTACTGGTCGCTGGGAGCTATGTGGCAGAAGGCAGTCTTGAAGATAACCTGGCCCTGAGCCATGTAGGGCTTTAAAAGTAATATCCAACACCTTGAATTGTACCCGGAGACCAATAGAAAGCCAGTGCAGCTCACGGAGAATTGGTGTAATGTGGGTGTATCTAGGTGCACCCATGATAGCTCGCGCGGCTGCATTCTGGACCAACTGTAGTCTCCAAACACTTTTCAAGGGTAGCCCCATGTAGAGCACATTGCAATAATCTAACCGTGAGGTGACAAGGGCATGAGTGACTGTGAGGAGAGCCTCCCAATCCAAGTAGGGTCGCAATTGGTGCACCAGGCGAACCTGTGCAAAGGTCCCCCTAGCCACAGCTGTCAGATGTTGCTCTAATCTTAGCTGTGAGTCTAGGAGGACACCCAAATTGCGAGCCCGTTCTGAGGGGGCAATTTCTCCCCCCCCAGAACCAAGGATGGACAATCAACATAGTCTTTAGGAGGCAATACCCACAGCCACTCGGTCTTGTCTGGGTTAAGTCTGAGCCTGTTGACTCCCATCCAGACCCTCACAGCCTCCAGGCACCGGCACATCACATCCACTGCATCACTGAATTGACATGGGGTAGAGATATTCAGCTGGGTATCATCAGGGTATTGCTGATATCTCACCCCATATCGTCGGATGATCTCACCCAGTGGCTTCATGTAGATGTTAAATAGGAGGGGAGAGAGGACCGAGCCCTGAGGCACCCCACAAACAAGGGGCCTAGGGGTCGCCTCTGTCCTCCTACCAACACCGATTGTGACCGACCAGAGAGATAGGAGAACCACCGCAACACGATGCCTCCCACTTCCAACTCCCTTAGTCGTCCCAGAAGGATACCATGGTCAATGGTATCGAAAGCCACTGAAAGGTCAAGTAGCACCAAGATGGAGGAATGACCCCCATCTCGGGCTCGCCAGAGATCATCCATCAGTGTGACCAAAGGAGTTTCTGTAGCAGTGCTGTAGCTAGGCCTGAAGCCAGACTGAAAAGGGTCCAGGGTTAAGCCAACCTTCACCATTTTTTTGCTCAGCATGGCCTATCATGAGGCAGCTGCTGGCCACAGGAGGCTTTTCCCCAGGTCATGCACGGCAATTTCCTTAAGAAACATGGAGAAGGTGGCCTCATGTGGCCAGAGTTGCCTTGTGAAAGGCCAGGCCAGGCAAGCCTTGCCAGCAGCAGGAATAAAAACACTGTGAAAGTCAGCTGGGGTGGCAAAGTATAGGATGGCAGGGACCTCCGAGTGTAGAGTGGCAAGAGTGACTGCAGTTGGACTGTGGCAGCTGTGGTTTCCAGGGCCAGGTGCAGCTTTGCACTGGGCAGAACTAGGCTTTGCATTGCAGGTCAGGGGCTTCTGGCAGCCCCACAGCTATGGTGCACCACAAATCCTCTTTGAGCTATGCTGCTAGGCTGGGACAGCACCTTGACTTTGTAAGACTTCCAAGATCCCTGCCAACTCTATTATAATATTACTAAGAAAAAAAATGCTGTGTTTTAATTGAGAATTTGCATTTTTAATAAAAATAGAAAAATATGGTCTTTTGGGATCATGGAGAAATTGTAATTCATTGTAAAGGTTTGAGAAACATCTCCACCACGTGTTAGTGACAGACCTGAACGGTACATGATTCTAGACTTTTGTTGAGCAGGTGAGATGTTTTAAAAATTGTGGGAGATATTTTTCAAGCCTCTACAATGAATTACACTTTCTCCACGACCCCAAAAGCACCCAAGCAGTTTTAGTGGATGCAAGGAGAGAATTTTATTCCAGCTGCCATCAAATTATTATTCATTCCAACTGCCGTCCTGTAATTACCGCATGGGGTACAATTAGTGTTTTATTTAGTTTAGTTTAGTTTTATATGCCACCCTATCCCCAATGGACTCAGGGCGGCTCACAACAATAAAATGCACAATTGCACATTAAAACAATATAAAATTAAAAGTCCAAATTAAAACAATTTAAAATCTATTAAGAAACCCCCCCCCCATCAGTCCAGGCTGCGAAACAGCCAGGTCTTCAAATCACGGCGGAACGAGCGAAGGTCAGGGACCATCCGGAGCTCCAAAGGAAGTTGGTTCCAAAGGGTGGGTGCGCCCACAGAGAAAGCTCTCCCCCTGGGGGTCGCCAGCCGACATTGTCTGGCCGACGGCACCCTGAGGAGGCCCTGTCTGTGGGAACGCACCGGGCAATTGGAGATTGTTGCTGGCTGCAGGGGGTCCGACAAATATCCCAAGCCTAGGCCATTTAACTTCATCCCCTTGAAAAACTACAGTCAGTTTTTTTAAGATCTCTTTTTTGGGCCTTAATTCTAATTTCATTTTTTTTTTTAAAGTGCAGTCTTTTTCTGATGTTTTATTTTATTTTATTTTATAATATATTTTATTCCTAGATGTGTCCCTAATACATTCTGACACAGAAACTGAGCTTCTGAAAGTCAAAAGCTATAGTTTGGCTTGTCATTTTATTTAGTAGACTTCAACTGGGTTCTTATTAATATTATTGGACAATTATAGGTCAGATGATATACTGTAGGTCATGTGCTCTGACAGGGCCTCTCCCAAAACGATTGCCATTAGGACTTGAAAGGTCAAAAGATCATGTACTTTATCATGAGTTTCATAAGCATTTTCGAGAGCCTGTCTTAATGGTTTTTGAGAGATAGAATTTCCAAGATTTCTCATATGAACCATGTGAGACTGAAAAGCCAGCAGGCAGGTAAGCGGCTGGTGCTCAGGGAGGGAGGGAGCATCTGGGGTATGTGCAAATAAGACATGGTATGTGGGGGTGCACAAGAGGTGCCATGTGAGTTGGAAAGCGTGTGTGGTGTACCCAAGAGGTGCTGCATAGGTCAGGGAAGGCACACAGGACAGGCATGGGGTGAGGTGGGTTTGGGAGGATACATATGAGCCATGGCACATGGGAGTCAGGGATGATGTGTGGGGTTGGCATGGATCAGAGCTGGCACAGATTGGGGAAGTGCACAAGAAGGTGGCATGGGCCAGGAAATGTTCTTTCCTCGCTGTTCTTCCCTTCTTCCTTTTCTAGTGAATAGATAAATGCCTGCTGCTGTGTGGGGGATGGAGAAAGGGATTGCAGGACTGGCTGGGAAATTGTCACTTAATGTTGAAAATGAAGAGCATGTGATTGCAGCAGCCAATAGCATTGAAGGAGCCACATCTTACCCACATTTCATTCCCTCAGCAATCATGAGTCCCAGATTTTGGACACATTATGTAAATTAGCCTATCTGAAGTACCTTGGTTCAAAAACTGGCGCCGTATGGTGTCTCATTCGACCCAGTTAAAAGTCATGTCATTGAGAGTTTAAGTATATACATTCTAAGGCTACCCAGAACAATTTAATATACCTGTTAGTGGAGATTACATAGTTACATACATGTCAATGGCACAACGCTAAATCGCCAATGGGTAAATCTAATGAAGAGCATTAGCAAACATGTAGCAAAGATCTGGAATCCTATCCGATTCAGTTAAGAAAAGCAATACTCAGCAAGAGCTATAGAAAGAAGTTAAACAACATATAATCAACTTGCCGGTCATCCTATGCCAGTCTAGACCAATGCACTGCTTACCTGCATAACTTCTTCCAGTGCTCATGTTGCTTGGCAATAGTGTCCATTTGTCAGTGACAGGATTATAGTATTCTACAGAGGCCAAATTGCAAGAGCCATCATCTCCCCCAACTACATAAAGAAGTCCATTCACTGAACACACACCTACAGAGAACAAAAACAATACAGTAGAAGTTCTAATTTTTATAGGCTGCTGTCATGACAAGACAGAAGGGCAAATTTAACATTGATTTTTATTATTAACACCTGTTATTTCACTATTTACTGAAATCACACACATTTTGTCAGTCATACTAATGGTTTTCTGCTTGAATCCTTTTTTTTTGCTTTTTTCTAACCATTAAGAAGATATAATTTGTGAAAAGCCAGCCCACCTGCATGCCTAACAAATAATGACTATCAATAGTTGTGTTTGTACCGTATTTTTCAGAGTATAAGATGCACTTTTCCCCCCCTAAAAGAGCTGAAAATTTGGGTGCGTCGTAAACTCGGAATGTACCTTTTTCGAAGCTTTTTTTCAGCCCTAACGAGGCGCTAATGAGGCACTAGCTAGCGATCTTCCCAGCTTTGCCTGCTATGCTTTGCTCCAACTTCAGCTATTCTTTAGAAGCTTTTTTCAGCCCTAACTAGGCACTAGCCGAGTTTCCCCCATCCCCTGTGCTTTGCCCTTTTTTTTCATTGCTGCTTCCTCTCAGCTGTGCCTTAGAAGCCGGTTTTTTATCCCCAAGCAGGGGATAAAAAATCAGCAAACTAATGTGCTGAAGCTGACCAGACTAAGGACGCTAGCCAGATGAATACCTGGTAGGCAGATTCCCCCCCCCCATTTTCCTCCCCCAAAATTAAGCTGTATCTTATACTCCGGTGCATCTTATACTCTGAAAAATACGGTAATCCTTAATAAAAATGAAAAATAAAAAAAATGAAAAAAGGATCTGAAAATTCTTGTTACTTACGAGATCTCAAAAGCAATCTATATAATTCTAGTCATTCATAATTGGAAAACAACTAAAATATATATATATATATATATACATATATATATATACACACACACACACACACACACATGTATATATATATGCTTTAATCATGACATCCATTCTGCAATAAATATGAATTGAATTATATCCCCCTTATGTTTAACATTTAATTAATTAAAAATAAGCAAGAATACCCTATTTAAAATGCTTGTTCTGGGACGTGGCAATGATGAGATTTACAGGACAAAAAGGTCAAATTTCAGATATCTAGAAACCCTTTAAAATAAATGTATTTATTCTTGTAGCTTTATCCCTTCTCTTACCAAACTCTGTACATGTCGCTTTTCAATTACATTTTACTGTAATTTCCATAATTCTGCCATTTTAAAGTGTGATTTTAAAATATTTTAATATTCTCTTAATAATATTCTCTCTCTGTGTGCATTTTGTCTATTTCTTTACAAATCCTAGATACAGAAACCTGTAATTTAAAAGGGTATTAAATGTCCTGCATTTATTTGACACTATTTTTACAAATATTTTCAAATCTGCTGGAGTTAAAGTATGTAGACTTAATCAAACATTAATTTAAAATAAGACATCATGACCTTTTTATTACTAAAGTAACTAAAAGTGCTATAGTGCTTTAAAGACTCACATTTATTATTGTATATCCTTGGTATTAATATTCCCCTCAACTGCTTTGTTTATACCTGAATAGTGATAGAGAAATATGGGAGGAAAATACCTGCATTTCTTCTGCACATATTCATATCTGCTACTTGTTTCCATGTATTTGTTCCAGGGTCATACACTTCCACGCTTTTTCTCACCAAAGGACCATCATGCCCTCCAGTAGCAAATAGCTGACCACTAAGAACACCAACCCCTAAAAAGCCAAACAGGGAGTTTCAGGATCTATTATAAATCGACTTCTAGTCAGGGATGATAAATCGCTGTGCCAAAAGCATAGTCCTGACAGAACGGTAAACAGTCCAGTACCCATCGGGGTAGTTATTACGCAAAATTAAGAGTTTGTAAGAGGCAGAAAGAATAACCATGAGGAACAGGAGGAAGAGCCACAATCAATACAATGGTCAGAGTCCAGGGCAAAAATGTAATCTGAGAAAGCATTTGATTTAACTTTCTCTAGTTCTCATAAAAATAAAGGGAGGGAGGGGGAAGCGCATAGAGTCTTGCAAGATTCTGTAATTGTATTTTTATAATAAAAATAGCATTAGCATCCATAACTTTAGTTTTCTAGTCTGGTCCACATCCCAAAGGTGCTTTTTCAAGAGGCAACTGGACTTTCTGGTTTTTCTTTGAAGACATTTCACTTTTCATCCAAGATTATTCAGCTAAAGAAGCTTCTTGGATGAGAAACAAAACATCTTCAAAATAAAAAAAACAAGAAAGTCCAGTTGCCTCTTGAAAAAGCACCTTTGGGACAACCATGACCTGATGACTGAGAATCTCCATAGACCAGGCCTATCAAATTGGTGGCCCACGGGCCAGATACATCACACGCAGGCAATACCCACCCCGGTTCCGCAAAGGGAAAAAACATTGTGAAACGTCACGATACGTCACATGACACGATTGAGTTTGATACCCGTGCCATAGACATTTAGTCTGATCCCCTTGAAAGGATAACAAAATTGGCCTAGAATGGGGAGAAAATCTGAAGCTACCTAAGCACCCTTTTTCCAGGCTCTGGGAATTGATATTTTTAGCCTCTTTTTTCTTTTATTTATTTCTTTGCGGGGGCATTTTAGGCATTTGGAAGGATGAGGTAGAAGCTTTAACTCTTGCCCAAACCCTCTCAACAGTGGGCTGATGTTTCCAATCTGGGAAATAAGAGGCAAAATAGCATGACAACCTGTCTTTTTTAAAAAAAACTATTTTTAACCATTAAGAGATGTTATTGCCAGTAAGTGCTGTGCTTCCTAGAGTGGCCAACTAGAGGTTTTCCCTTAGTAATCCATTTCCTAATGTGTACCATGAAATGTGAAGGTAATAGGGGAAAAAATCAACTCTCTGGAAGCAGCCTTAGCCATGAGGCAAGTAGACAGTCACTTCTACGTTCTAATCATGTTCATGACATCCGCAAGGGCATTTGTGAAAAGGAATTGCTGTAGCTATAAATATTCCACATCCAATGTCAATATGTCAATCTTGGCTACTACTGGAACATAATACTGCCTAGACTGAATTGTCAATCTGAAGCAGACTTCAAGTTAGTCATCAGTAATCATGACAGATGTTTATAGAACTAAGTCCATTGAACATACCAACTTGCTAATCAATATTACATTCTACTTTTCTTTAGATGGTCCATATTTATCTACTCCAGCCTGTTATGAGACTATCTGCTTTGACTTGAATGCCTATCAACCTGGCCATAAGGAGATTGACACAAAGAACTGAGAAAACAACAACATAAAAGGAAATATTGCTGTGTGTTACAGAAGTCTAACACTTTAAGTAAACAAATAATAATAATTTGGGATAGAATACCTGCACCACTGCGCCGAGTACTCATATCAGAAACGTAAGACCATTCATTTGTAGATGGATTATACTGCTCCACAGTACTAAGGCACTGGCGTGATGCTCCATCATATCCACCAACAGCGTAGAGTTTACCTAGAATTTTAGCAACAGCCGTCAACAGGATCAATTAAAGGAAAATATATGGCGAATATTTAATAACCAGTTTTTAATCACTGCTCATCTGATTATCACATAATAGACGCTTGTTGAATATCTACAAATTTGGTGGCAATAGTTATAATATGCTTCTATTGGGCATTTCCAATGAAATATCAAGGCAATGAGAAACTCTTATAAAGCAAGAAGCTTTTTAAAAGCTCCAGCTTCAAGCAGCAATCATTTCAGGGTTTTTTTTTCCTTATTATAAAGTGGAAGCATTAGTAGTTACTGACACTTTAAAATCGGCCAAAACTCAGGGGCCTTAAGCTCCCCTCATTCAGTGCTGTTGTAACTTTAAATAGTTTCTGAATGAATGGTTTTAAGTTGAGGACTACCGACAGAGCCTTGGTGGCGCAGCAGACTAAAGCACTGTTAAGTAACACCAGCTGCCTGCAATTACTGCAAGTTCAAATCTCACCAGGCTCAAGGTTGACTCAGCCTTCCATCCTTTCGAGGTAGGTAAAATGAGGACCCGGATTGTGGGGGCAATAAGCTGACTTTGTATAAAAAAGAACACCGCTGGGGGGGGGGCAAAAGCCCTACTAAGCAGGTACATACAAAAGTATGAAGGCTATTGCTTAACGCATTGTAAGCCGCCCTGAGTCTCTGGAAAAGGGCAGCATATAAATCGAACCAATAAATAAATAAGTAAATAAATAAATAAATGACACATATTAACCAGTTCAGAAACTCTTTCTTTCACTAATTTCTTGATTTCTTTCCAGGACATGGAATAAAAAAACAATTGCCACTTTTAATAAGAAGAAAATATGGGAACATGGAAAACGTGACCAACTAAGCTTTCAGAGACAGTTGTACTTACAGAATGGCAGAGATGTATTTAGAGAAAAAACATCAAGCATCCTCTGACTCGTTTAATTGGCTGGATGTGATTTTGTGATATTGATCGATGCAATGTTGCATCGCTGTAAATAAAATAGGAGTGACTTCAAAACAGAAAAGTCTTACCCTCTACAACTCCAACTCCAACACTGCTTCTTCTTGTGTTCATAGGCGCCACAAAAAACCATTCATTGACCTTATAATTATAAGCCTCCACAGATGCCAGACCTAGTTTGAAAACATGAAAAGGGGAAACACATAACACTGTGTTTTCCTATCACAGAATTCATTTCATAATGATCATTTCCCTTCAGGCAAACAAAGGGAAGGAAGCAAGCCAGAGCTCCTTTGCTAATCAGGAAGCTTCTTTTTCAGGCATTAACACTATCCTTACCTATTGCAATCATCATGAGCTTTTTGCAATAAGAAGTCACCCCTGAGAATAACACCCCAGTTCTTATTATTGATCTATGCTTAACAGGGCATTCTAAAACCACTCCCTAACAGGGAAGAGAAGTTCAATGAAGGGTTTTTGTAGAATCTGATTAACTACCCATTATGGTGGCAATTGGAAGCAATGAATTTTCTTAAGTAAACATTTAGTTTTTCTTCCCATGGTTCAAGCCAAAATTAACCACCCTTAAAAATTAGGCTTCAGCTCCATCCATTTTCCTGAGAGATCATTATTAAAATGAATGAGAACGTCACAAAGTAGGTGCAGAATGCCAAAGTTTGTATTTATGAACAGAGGAACTTACTCCAGAAGAGAGAGTCTTAAGAATAAAGAGTTGAATATTCTCCCATTGGGGCTGGCTTTTGTGCATCAGCTTACCAGTACTTCCATCAAATCCACCAACAGCATACAGGAGCTCATTGAGCACAGCAGCTCCTAAAGTGCTTCGCCTTTCTTGCATGCTAGCTATAGATGTCCACTGATCTTTCACTGCATCATACACATCGACTGTCCGAACTCGCAAAGAGCCATTGAAACCTCCCACCGCATAGACTTTGCCTGTCATGAATACCACCCCTGTTAAAAATAAATGAAGAGAGCGCAAAGCTTTAAGCAAATCAGTCTTTGCCTACCACAAAACTCCTATTCCAACTTCTTACATGCAAGTATAGGAATCATTAAAAAACTAATAATAAAAGAGAGTGTCTGTTCATCTAACAGCTTCTGATTGCATGATTCACCATGTTAACCTTTTCTATTATCAATTTCTGGCAGCTTTTAGCATTGACATGATCTATATTCAATAGGTATAATCCACCAGTCAAAAGATACCTTTGATAACAACCAGTATGAGTTATTTCAAATATTACACAAATATAAATCTGGACTAGGCTCCAAGTAGTCTCAACAACCACCTGTAATTTCTGATGAACTTTCCTTGAATGATGTATAAGTAATATGCAATTGCATATTCGATGGTTACACTCAACAAGATTTTAGCACAGTGTATTAAATAGCTTTTAGCAGCTGCTATAATGTATTTAGAGAACTTATTAGCAAAGGCTAATTCAATTCTAATTATTATTAATGTTCATTACAGTGGTTCCCAAAATTGGGGGGGCGGGGGGGCAGCAGGCAGGTTTGAAAAGCATATCCTCACCAAATAGATGATCATCCAGGACTAGTCCAAAAAGCAGTAGCATGTGTAATCTGGAGTTTACCGCTGGGGTATGTGGATATGCTCACATAACACGACCGCTAATGAACTGCACTGGTTCCCAGAGGCAATTCAAAGTGCTGATTTTCTCCTTTAATGCTCTGCATGGCTCAGGGGAAGGTTACTTGCAAGACTCCCTGTTTCCCCTGGTTTCTGTCTGTCCCATCAGACCTGGCAGGGTCAGTGTCCCTTCTAGGAAGCAATGTCATCCAGTGGGACCCAAATGGCTTTGCCCATTCTGTCACAGCACTCATCCTATGGAACCGCCTTCCACCAAAGTCTGAGTGGTCCTGAAGATCTGGCTTTCCTTCAGACACTGAGGCCAGGATGTTAGTGAAGCCTGGTATGTGTATTTTGTTGTGTTCTGTGCTATAAGGTTATTTGTAATTAGGTAATTATGTTAAGGAGCCCTGGTGGCGCAGTGGCAAGAATGCAGTATTGCAAGAAAACTCTGCTCACAGCCTGGAGTTCGATTCTGACGGGACCCAAGGTTGACTCAGCCTTCCATCCTTCCAAGGTTGGTAAAACGAGGACCCGGATTGTTGGGGGCAATATCCTGACACTGTAAATCACTCCAAGAGCACTGTAAATGCACTATGGGGCGGTATATGTCTAACTGCTATTGCTTTGTAGTGTTTCACATAAATGTGTGATTTATGAACTTGTTTTGTTACTTGTCCAGAGTTATTTGGTTAAAGTGAATAGTCACATACATTCTTTAAATAAATAGATAAAGCACTACTAATTTAATTTTTTAAGAATGGTATGGAACCTCTGGGCCTGGTTTTGCAACTTGACTTTTTGTAAAATGAAACTGTTAAAAGGTGGCTGTGATAAGAAGCCTGGACTCCATAAGCAGCTTTTTCAGCCAGCTCCCAGAGATAACAGGGAAACTTATTGACTCAGGGGCTAGCTGAAAAAAAAAAACCCTCCTGAAATCCAAGCAAGATTTTCAGCCATGGAGGATTTTCAGTTCCGGAACAGAGACGTTTCTCTCCACTCTGGGGCTGACTGAAAAACCTCAGGAATTAAGAAACTAAATGTCAAGATAGTTATGTTCAACAGAGGACACGAAGTCAAAAATAAAACACTACAGTAAGTAAATGAATCTGTGTACCTCGCATGCTGATTATGGGGAAATAAATAAAGACATTTTAAGATGTGTAAATGCTAGTGGTAAAGGTGTAGGTAGTATGCAGATTGTTGATAAAAGCAATCTACAAGATTGCTGTCTATAAGTGCAAATAGTTTTATTACAAAGAAACAATAGCTAGACATGTCATGAACAACATAGAAGTTGAATGCACTGAGAATTGCTTATTTAAGAAGTCTGTGTGTAAAACGGATAGAATGAATCAATGAATCAATATTGATTGAAGGCAGACTAAGTATAAAAAATGAGTGACCACAAAAAATGAAGCAAGTGGTTCAGTTGTAAGAAAGAATGAACGAGCCCTGTTTGTCTTGTTGTCATGTGTCCAATTCCTTTTCTTACAAAATTTACCATTTTTCTGTACTTTGCGTAATATTGCTTACTCAGAAAGGCAGTAAAGTGATGGATATATTTCGTAATTACTTACAGGTGGCAGAATATATAAATAATAGAACAAATAGTATTTAAATAGTGATTGAGGCCATTATAAAGAACAAAACGTACCTGCTCTGCATCTCCGAGAAGGAAGTTCAGCAATCTGATCCCATCGCTCCTCCTCAAAGTCGTAACACTCTACACTTCGAATGGCTTTTGGTGCCTGCCCACCCACCACAATCATTATCTTGGTGAGAAAGAAAAAGTAATTATTGTTTTTAAAAAATCCCATAGAATCACAGCCTTTTCAATAGAAATACACCTTTAGAAAAATAATTCTTAAACTGTGTTATCTCCCAAAATAGCTGAGTGCATTAAACGGAGTAAAAGAAAATTGCTCCAGAAAAAAAACGTTTTATAATAGAAGCATGGCAATTTGACATATGCAAAATATTAAAATTAAAAGTACGGCCAGAAAGTTGCTGCTGTTATCTTTGGATGAGGCCTCTGCACTTTGGCTTAATAAACTATATTGCTTTGGAAAAGGCCAGTAATTTGGAATCTAAAACACAGGTTTTTGTTAACAGCCTGGAAACATATGACAATTCTATGAATGCCTGGCAATGGTGATTAATATCAGAAGATAGTAGTACAGGAATTTAGAATGTGAAAGACAGAATGAAATCAAGTTAATAAAAACAGTATTTTCACATTTTAAATCTATGCTTAATATTTGTTTGCATTCTTATGTAAGTCACTTGTTGAGATAGGTACTATGGAAATCAAATAAATAAATAATATATCTAACAAAAAAGTTCAAAAATTCACATTTGCCCAAAACTAAACTGTTCCTCTACAAACTGGCTAATCTGAATTGATATTCATGGTCATCCAATTACATGCCAACATTTAACATCTATAGGAAGACTAGATGTAATCTTCTCCTTTGTGCTTTCTTTGCACTGTACCTATCCTATAATAGGGTAAATATATTCTAAATTATATCAATACTAAATAGAAAAAACATTTGGGTAGAAAAAGTGTTAATTACTGGAATACAATGCCAACATATTTTTACGCTTGGGCTGGAATTACTATCGGTGTTGATTTTTTTCAACAAGGAAACATTATTTACCTTTGGCAAACTGACTGGAGTCCTTGGCTTGGTTCTAGGATTTTTTATCAGCTGTCTCTGATCCAGAGGAAGCAAGTGATATTTCATGGCTTCAATGAGGAAGTCTTTACATGTATTATTATTCTTGATTAAAGCTTCTTCTTCAACTGTCTAAATGTTAAAACAGGTTAGCACAATGGCTTCATTTCACTAATGAAAATAGAATAGAATAGAATAGAATAGAATAGAATAGAATAGAATAGAATAGAATAGAATAGAATAGAATAGAATAGAATAGAATAGAATTTTTTGTTGGCCAAGTGTGATTGGACACACAAGGAATTTCTCTTGGTGCATATGCTCTCAGTGTACATAAAATAAAAGATACGTTCGTCAAGAATCATAAGGTATAACACTTAATGATAGTCATAAGCAATCAGGAAACAATATCAATATAAATAGTAAGGATACAAGTGACAAAATTACAGTTATACAGTCATAAGTGGAAGGAGATGGGTGGTGAGAACGATGAGAAGATTAATAGTAGTGCAGAGTTAGTAAATAGTTTGACAGTGTTGAAGGATAATGATAATGGGTAATGAACATTAGCATCTCTGGGTTAGGTAGTGAACATTAAAAAAATATGTGCCAAAAGAAGTTTGCTGGATTTGTTCTGAAGAATTTAGATGTAACAGTATGAAGCTATAGGGCATTCTGCCTATTCAACATCTAGTTCATTAAGTGATTCCCATTTGTCATTCCTTGCAATATTACTTCTATTTTCAAGTTAGCACTGATGCATATTCTGTGCATGAAATTGTGCAACAATCTTATCTCATTAACTGTTTGCCAACCTCAGCAACTTTTAAGATGTGTGGACTTCAACTCCCAGCATGGGGAATTCTGGAAGTTGACGTCCAAACATCTTAAAAGTTGCTTAGGGCAACACTGAAATAGGATACACAAGAGATTTTGGACAAGAGAAGAAAAAAAAGGCATGGAAAGCCAAATTGTGCACAGTAGGAAAGATCTGAATTACCTTCAAAATCCTAAAACTACCTAAATAAACTGTGTGATGACTATTTATGAAATTATAAGCTGCAGCCAGATAGCAGGCACAAGGCAGAGAATTTTTTTTTATTTTTTTTTTACATTCGAACTTTCTCAGACAGTGCCTCTTTAGGAAGAACTAAAAGTTTAATTTGTAGTTCATGATCTTAATTTTTTTTAACAGCGTTTGCTTAATGATTCAAATTTTGGGAAAAGATTAAGTTGCTCTTTATTAACATTGAAATCTGCATTATCTTATTCTATACATTCTCTTGGAAATTTTTTTCTCTGAAAAGCAACTAACAGCAGCAAGAACAATAGTAACATACTGTACATTCATACATATATACATGAGGTATTTGAGCCACTCAAAAACAGTACACTACTGGAGCCCGAACCTACAGCAAGGTTCCCCAACTTAGTCTTATTGAACAGGAAGTTTCCACCCAAACAAAGTAGATATGAAAATTCTAAGGCATAAAAGGTTTTGAGAAGCCCAACGGCAACAGGTATAGCTCTTAAAGGAGGGACAGGGCAACCAGGCAGTGTCCATTACTACTCAGGCTACTGCATTTATTTGTTTGTATCCTGCCTTTATTATTTTTACAAATGCCTCAAGACAGTGGACATATCTAACACATCTTTCTCCTCCTATTTTCCCCACAACCATCACCCAGTCAGGTGAGCTGGGCCGAGAGTGTGTGACTGGTCCAAAGTCACCCAGCTGCCTTTCATGATTAAGGTAGGACTAGAATTCACCATCTCCCGCTTTCTAGTCTGGTGCATCTAAATGAGGGCTGTCAAACTCCAAGGGCGTGGGCTGGATGTGTCACATGCTGGCCATGCCCACACCCTGTTTAGCAAAGGAGAAAAAAAGTCCCAATACGTCACGTGAGTTTGACACCCCTGATCTAAATCAAAGTATGGTAATCCAAATATGAAATGACAAGAGTCCTCAAAATATCTCAATCCACAAATACTACAATTGGTTCACAGGATGAAATTATGTCATGGTCTCCACCTGCTCTTCAAGAAAGAGCCATGAATCCAAGAGGACCCCCAGATTATGGGTGAGTTTTGAACAGGAACACAACCCTAAGGTAAAGGTAAAGGTTCCCCTCACACATATGTGTAGTCGTTCCAGATTCTAGGGGGCGATACTCATCTGTTTCAAAGCCGAAGAGCCAGCGCTGTCCGAAGATGTCTCTGTGATCATGTGGCCGACATGACTAAATGCCAAAGGCGCACAGAACGCTGTTACCTTCCCACCAAAGGTGGTCCCTATTTTTCTACTTGCATTTTTTACATGCTTTCGAACTGCTAGGTTGGCAGAAGCTGGGACAAGTAACGGGAGCTCACCCTGTTACGCAGCACTAGGGATTCAAACCGCTGAACTGCCAATCTTTCAATCAACAACTCAGCGTCTTAACCACTGAACCACTGTAAACACAACCCTACTCAATGCTAAAATTCTAAATCCACAGCTACTTTAACTTGCTAGAACTGAATCTTGATAGCCTCTTCAGCCAGAGGTAGAGATGTAGAAATAATTATCATCAAGCATATGGCTACAGCATCACCCTAAATAATCTCTCAGTAATTACACCAGTAAAAAAAGTCTATACAACGTGAAGTTGGTTTTAAAAATTCCAAATTCCTGTATCGTTAGAATACCAAACGGCAGCCTTTCTTGCACCATTTATTGTAGATAAATGCAATCCCTGTTCTATCCAACTGAGCCTTTATGTGAAAAAAGCATTGGAAGGCTGCAAAGATTATGATTCCTAAGGGAGATAGATGAATGGATGTCAAGTCATAAAGAGCTTGTATTATTTTTAATTGTGCAAAGTTCTGATGACTACTAACCTGCACAAGGTAGTCTCTGGGCAAGAGAGGAAGACGAACATGCTCCATCAGCTTTGCCATGTGTTCCAAGCGAGATTCTTTGTCATAATTAATCCACGAAATGACAGCTTCAAAGACCTGCAAACAGCAAAACTTGTTTTGTCTAAAAGGGACCTAATTTGTCATTACGGAACCCAAATTTGCAAGCAACGATTTCATAAATTATGTAACAGTTAAGTCTGCAGAAACGACTTAAAACGCTTTTTAAAAGGCAGAGGATAGTGACATAATAAGATTTATAAATGCAGAAAAAAAGGTGATCATGTGCAGGATGAAAACACAGTCATTTAAATAAGCCATACCTTGCACACTTTTGGACTTCAAATTGTGTAGCACACTTCCAATCCAGAGACATCTCAATTTGTTTACAGGCTGTACAATAAGTATACATTATAACTGTTAGCATTCTGAATCTAATTTAAACTCTCAAGGGCAATACAAGTAGTCCTTGACTCACAGCAGGTATTTGTTTAAAGACAGTATGAAGTTACAACAATATCGAAAAAGTGACTGGTGACCATTTTATCACACTTAGGGCTATTGCAGCATCCCCATGGCCACGCAACCAAAATTTGAACACTTGGCAACTGGCTCATATGTATGATGACCGCAGTTTTCCAGCATTATGTGATCACCTTTTGCGACCTTCTGACAAGCAAAGTCAATGGGGAAGCCAGATTCACTTAACAACTGTGTTACTAACTTAACAACTGCAGTGATTCACTTAACAACTGTGGCAAGAAACATGGGACAAACTCACTTAACTGTCTTGCTTAGCAATGGAAATTTTGGGCTGAATTGTGATCATAAGTAATATGTAGTCATATTTTGATTTCATCACTAGAATAAAAATGTGTTTGAACGTTGTACTTAATTTGCCTGTTTTGAGTCTTTTGCATGACTATAGTGTTCTAAAAGACAATAGGAAAGAGGATACTAGAGTATGTGACAACAGGCAACACAAAAAGAGCATGGAAAAATCACGGAGTTCTATGAAATGAACAAAGATGTACATCAACCATTGGAAATTCTACTTTTTAGTTTAGAATAGATTATGAGAGTTACAGAAAAAAAATCAAATAGTCTAGTTCACAAATGTAGTCACATATCTATAACAATTGTACATCTCAAATCTTGGTTTGTGTTGAAATCATCCATCACCAGCAAATTTCTTTCAATACGGGAGTTGTACCTGATTAAGGAACCTCCAGGCTGGAGACCTAAATATCATCTGACAGCATCAGAAAGAATGTTAATGAAAAAAGGAGCTTCATTTAATGAATGTGCAGTAGGAAGAAGTCGCCAGTGAGATGTCCAGATTAAAGGTGCTGATGGCTCTTGTGCACATTCGTATGCTTGTGTTGCTTAAAAAAAACGAATCCTTCAGCCAGTGTAAATTAGAGATGGGACATTAAATTGCAAGTGACACTAATTGCATCCCATCCAGCTTGTTATACTTTCTACAAAAGGTTAATCAAATACTCATTTAGCAATGTTTTAAATTGTGAGCCTTGATCTGTATGCCTTCTTATTTTTTCAGCTTCATTAGTGGCCATTTTGGTATATCCCTTTCCGGATCATAGAAGTCTTCTGCCTTTAGGCACACTGATTCTTTTTTTTTTTTTAAGTTAGAGAATTTCAAAGCCTGCTGGAGTTTATTCCAATGTTTTTTAGTTCTGGACAGCACCATTTGCAGATGCTTTTGAACACAATTGTGCCAATCTTTAAAACCTTAATTAGCTTGGGATCCAAATACCTAAAGAAGCATCATTCCCTATTTATGGCAGTATATCTGTGCCTTGGGAACTTCAGGGGAGCCTCTTCTCAAAGAAGAGCATTTATTTCATAGCCATGTGACAGCTAGCGAAAGCTGCCATTTCTCTGACTGCTCAGATCTTTCTTTTTCTCCTCTGTCTATGCAGTCAAGCTCTATTTCCATATTACAGAAGACACAAATCAAGAATACCTTTTCCTCTGATGACACTGTGAGCTTGTCACTTGATATCAAGCTGCAAACCTGGTCCAAGCTTAGGCTAAGAAATTCTTCACCAAGCATCACTTCAGGAAAATGCTGCTCTGTTCCAAAGAATTGGAAATTAAGAAAAGGAAGATCATAATGAAAATCCAAGTTTTCACTCAACATGAAGGACTAGCAACAATAGCTTGCACAACAATGGGATTACAGCGTATGAAGAAAAAAACCCAGACTGACTGGTGTTCAAAGATGACACCAATAAAGAAAATGAGCTCCACTGTCACATCAGGAAATGTATAACCTACTGCTATGAGTGTGTGAAACTCTGAATTTCATACTGTAGAAGAGCCACAGCTTAGAACAGGGGTCCCCAACCTCTGGTCTGTGGACCTGCACTGCAGAAACCAACTGTGCAAACAAGCAAAGCCCCATCCATGGGATGCAGGCAGCACATGAAACCACGTCCCCTCAGTCCATGGCAAAACCTCCACGGAACTGGTCCCTCGTGCCCAAAAGGTTGGGATCTGCTGGCTTACAACATACTTGACATGCAAGGAGTTTCAGGTTCAATCATGTGCAGAAAACAAGAAGAAACATTTAACTGAAACCTTGCAGGAGCATCTATCAACCAATGTATAATCTGTTACACTGACTGTAGGTAATATAACTGTAGTTCAACAGTTCTGGGAAGTGCTTGGCTGGAAAAAGCTTGTAAAAACTGTAATTGTAAAGACTGTTTACATAGCGGTATATAAAATAATAACTCTACATTGATAGAATAATGTTTTCTGAGGGTAGGCCCAAGAAAGACAGCTTCTGGTACTAGTGTGGAAAACTGCACAAAGAAACTGAAACTGCACAAAGAAACTCTTTAGACATAATAGATTGGAATCTAGCTTGTTTTCAAGATAATGTCTGCAATACAGATACTACCTTCAGCTCTTTTCATTTACAATATCAGTTCCGAATATTTCTTTAAAGTGGCTCTGTAAAATACTTCTGTTCACCAGCAGGTGGCTCTTGAGAACATAAATCTCAATACAACTTATTATAATTATAATGAACTATCACGGGTTATTCAATATCTTATTACAGAAACAATTTTTAAAATGAGAATGTAATGTTCTGAAGAAATATTTAAAATTGTATGAAGCCAAACATTTACACTCTAGTGGTAACTAGACTGTAGACCATACAGCACACTAAACCAAAATCAAACAAATCACAATGATAACACAAGTTATCAGCTTTAGGTATTTCTCAAAGAGGGTATTCAATGAGCTCATAGGTTGCTTTCTGCTGCTTTAAACTGCAAAATATTTCACTGTACACGGTTAATGTATAGCCAAAGGAATCTTGAATGCATTTCTGGGATATTTTCATTAACATTTCATAGGGGGATGTTAAAGTAATATATTCCTCGTGAACTTGCAAGAGCTTGCAATTAAACCAGATTTAAATTAAACGTTGTTCAGTGCTGGTCTGGTTAAAGATTAAATGGTTTTTAAAATCAAGCATTTAAAGGTATTTATTTGTCCCAGATATAAGCAAGCAAAGCTCTGAACGCCCTACATTCAAGTTCAGAAACGTGGACAAGAGAGCAACAGGCTTCATTAAGCCACTGATTTTGATGGAGTTGGCTGAAATGGCAAAATTGACTACTTTGATTAAAGAAAAGGATATAAGTACTTTTGTTTCCACATGGAGACCGTTTCTGAACTTAGTGCTTGATGTGGAAAACAATGTAACTTTGATTTTGGGTTTTACCGAGTAGATTGATAGATCTTTACAGAAATGGCTTGTTCATATTATTATGAAAAAGCAAAAAGTTGTGATTTGATGTTAGTACCTTATTTTACTGTAACAGAGAAAGTCAGAAGCCAATGCTTCTTTTTCTTTATTTTTTCTTATCTATCCTCACTTTTCTTCCCCCTTTCTCCTCCCCCCCCATTTTTCTATTTACTTTTGTATTTTGTATTTTACAGTATTTTATAACTCGATAAAAATGTTAAACTTAGCCGCTGATTTTCAAGGCAGGTCGGTTGTAACAAACATCTTTGTTGGCAACGATAACCCATAATTTCCCCGGAATCTTTTACAGGTGGTCCTCAACTTACAACCATTCGTTTACCAAAGTTACAAAAGCTTCTTACAACCAGTTCTCACTCTTAACAACTGACACACCGTCCCCACAATCAGATGATCAAAATTCAAGCACTTGGCAACCGGCATGTATTTGCAACACATGCAGCATCCCAAGATGATGTGATCACCGTCTGCAACCTTCCCAACCAGTTTCCAACAAACAAAGTCAACTGGGAAATTTGGATTTGCTTAAAAGGCCACATGGTTCACTTAACTTGCTGCAAGTTAACGAATCTAAACACTGTACCTTTCTTTCATAAAACTGCTGCCCTAGCCCCATAATCATATTGAACTGATCTTGGTTATATCTTTCCCAGTGTCAAATTAGCCGACGTTTGATGAAAATTGTAAGCATGCACTAAGTACAGTATCACCAAAGATATATTATGAATTGGTGCATTGGCTGAACTGCTTATCAATAGGGATTCTGTTCTCACTTCATTACATCAGTAACAAGACCTTACAAAAATGTATTTTATGCATGTGAAAAAAGTCGTCTGCGCTTAAGTAAAGAAACAAAATACAAGATCAATATTGCAGATATGTAAAAACCTTTAGATCTGGTTTGTTTAGTGACCATGTCAATACAAAAGTGCAGATAACAAATTGTGCTAACAAGGGATAACTCCTGTACGACCTATTTCATTTTCAATTCTTCCTTTCCTAATGCATCCAAGCCTGGAATTTGCCTTTTGTTTTCTACACTTATCACAGAATGCACTGATGTTTATCTAGGCAAGGGGTCAGCAACCTGCAGCTCTGGAGCCACATGCGGCTCTTTGGGCCCTCTGCTGTGGCTCCCTGTCGGGTGACCCCACCACTGCCTGGCCCCGCCCCTCGCCCTCCCCTCCCAGTCACTCCTCGCCTGGCCTGAGAAGGTAACGGTGACAGGGGATGGAGAAGTGGTCAGGGCAGAGACAGATACAGAGAGGGGGAGAGAGAGAGACATAAGAGAGATATAGAGAGAGGGGGAGGGGGGAGGGGAGAGAGATATATGTCAAAAGGGTTTTGTGGTTCCCGGTGTTTTTTAACAACTGGTTCTCTGCCCTAATGACCGGCTGGGTAGATTTGGCTGGCGAGGTGTCATGTGACTGGTGGAAGTGAGTGACATCAAGTTGGCCATGCCCAGCCAGGTTTTGTGGCTCCCGGTGTTTTCTTTTCTGTGGGAAATGGGTCCAAATGGCTCTTTGAGTGCTTAAGATTGCAGACCCCTGGCCTAGATCAATCTGTCATGTTTCAAAGTCCTCCTTTTTAGTCAGTCTTCAAGAGATCCTGGTATATGAAAATTGTCTCTGTCTATATCAGAGCATCTGTCTAAACCACAGTCTCCTTAGCACATGCCCACTTCATTTCATCAATTAAATCATGCTGAAAAGACGTGTACCTGGATTTGCAAATTAATTTGATTCAAACTGAAAATTTCTTATTTACCAGCCAAGTCCGCTTTATTTGGACAAAGATGACAGAAACAGAACTGCAGCTATATAGAATCATCCTATGATGTACTACTGTTATCATCATCAAAAAAGAAGATTGTGTCATTGATATGGACACCTCTTCCATTCCTTTAAGGGAAGCTTCAGGTAAGGCACTACATGTGAGTACAATTATGAGGAAAGCTACAGTGTGTCTAGGGAATACATTTTTGTAAGGTCTTGTTACTGATATAATGAAGTCAGAACAAGAATTCCTATTGATAAGCAGTCAACCAATGCACCAATTCATAATATATCTGAAATCTTTGGGAAAAAACAGAATTTGCTCCAGTGTAAAGCATTTTATGCAGATCTGCTTGAAGTATTTGACTTTAGGGCCTATACAGTAAATAAAAATAGTGGGAAGATGCTTTAAGATTCACTACTGTATTCTTCACTATTTGACTCATAACTTTCTATAATTGTTTATTCTTTTGAGAGCATGTAACAGTATTGTGTTGTTCAAGTACTCCCCATATCAGAAACCTGCCAATTGGAAATTGAACAAGACTACCTTCTTACAACTTCTTTCAAATACTGTATGCTCACTTCCAGCAAATGGAGTACAAAGACTTTAATATTATAGCTGCAGAAAAATACTATCTTTTATTCCTGTTGCGGGCCAGTGGCAAGCTACCAGTTGGCTTCAAGTGTTGTAAGGTCAACTAAAAGGCACCCTAGTGGGGCAAAAACTACTTCCCTTTCCTATTCTCACACTATCTTCTCAATTCCGAAATATCTGAGACAAATTTGCAGCAGAAAAAGAAGAGTATATTTTCACTAAAAACTTGTCCTTCAACCTGACTTTATATTTTCCTAATACTCCTTCTATTCAGCTCCTTCTACTCAAACAATCACTTACACATGATAAAAACCTCTTCTTTTTAACTCCTTCAATATTTGCTTATTCATTATATAAGCTCTCTCTACTTACATCTGTTCTTTGTTACTTCTCTTTTTTTAGATATTGTACACTTTTCTTCTTCCAAGTGGTTCTAATCGTATATTAGAACCTGGTTATAAACTTGCTTCCTTCCATAGCTCTCTTAACCTTCTCTGGTTTTTAGACCATTTCCAAAAAACACATCATGGTGTTTCTTTCCTATGCTAACTTGACTCCACCACCTTCCTGTTCAAAAGATAAAATGTTCCTTGACTTTTAAATTCAGTGGTACTCTTGTACTGAAAGGTATGTCCAAGAGAGCAAAGATATGAGCCCAAGTAGAACCTCAATATTCTACCTAACTTCCCCCATATCCTTTTCTAGTTAATGCTATATTAACTTAAGAGTTGGCTAAGGAGCAGACAATTACTACTAGGAAGGATAAGGCTGATTGTTGTTTCAGTATATCTTAAATACGTAATTGTAATTTTACTCAACATTGCTGCTTCGAAACATTGGTATAATATCTTTTGTAAAAGATTCTGTAAAATTGCCTGCTTGTAAGTTGAAAGCATTTTGTAATTCTCATGTCTGTTCGGAACATCTAGCCTGAAAAGTTGTATTTAAAATACCAGATGTAGATTTAGATAATATCTTAACGGCAACTTTCTCTAATGTTTGTCCCTCCAGACATTTCAGCATGCTGGCTAAGGAATTTGGAGAGCTGAAGTCCAACTTCTGAAAGGCGTCTAGGTTGAGGTGGCTGTTCTGGGTTAAGAGTATGAAACATACTGACCTCCAAACTACGATTTTGATATACTTCCTCCAACATGATCATTATTCAAGAATTATGAAAATTCATTCTGAAATATGTAAGAGATGCCATGTTGCCTTTCTCTACTTGAGGGATTTAGATCATGTGTACATTCAGTTGAATTTTACCAGTAAGAATTAGCATTTTATATATGTTAAAAGTCCTCTTATGATGCAAGAGAATCACCTACAAGCTTACGCAGCAAATTAGTTCTCTCCCCCTTTGTTGTTTTGATTTAGGTTGAAGGATGTGTACTAGTATCCAAGACATCAATATTTTCATATTTTAAAGCCAGGAACATCTTGAGGGCTGTTACAATCACCTGCATAGGCATTGGCCTGTTGCAATAATTCTGTGCAGGTGTGCACATCTGCAAAGGCGCGAATTCCAAGGCAATTTGTGGGGTGGAGCTGAGACTGAAGAAAGTCACAACAGTTCTGTCGAACATCCATTAGCTGTAACAAGCTGGCAGCTGGCAGTAAAACCTGAAATTTGAAAAAGAAAAGGCAACAAAGAATTAGCAACTGAAGTCCCATATGTTGGTTCCTCCAAAAAAACAACAATATTGAAGCACGATTTTTAAAAGTATTAAAGACTAACCATACTATGACACACCTGAGCCAGAAAAGAATCATATTTCTCTACTTCTTTAACATACTTCAGCCAAACAGAACAATAAAACTGCAATATACCCTGGGGTGCATTCATTCTCTTATTCCAGCAAGATTAATCCAACCCAGCTGGATCACACGGGAATATTACAAATCAGTAACTATTTTAGAGAGCACTAACCCCAACAGGCATCAATAAAATTAAACTATCAGTCTCTAGGCCTCAATACACTTTGATTCTTAGAATAGATTAGAAAAAAGAAACTAAATAATAATTGGTTAAGAGAAACTAATAATAATCGGGTTTCTTCAGCTAACATCAGTTTTTCAAGGTTTTAATATTCTCTCAAAGAATGAAGGACAAAATGTAAATATAATTAACAGCATGCTTCCCAGGAAGGGGCGCATCCACATCCATGTTGCATTTCAATGGTTAAATTATTGGGATATAATAGAACAAGAGCCAGCACTTTCAAAATTTGCAAACTGGACTGCCAAGACTCTATCCTTTGGAAACCCCTTCACAGATCTCCTCAAACTGAGAGGAAAGATTTAAAGATGTTTCATCTCTTGTTCATCGTCTTCCACGTAACTGGCAATCCTAAAATGCGAGTTCCTGACTCTGGTGAATAATGACTCTGAGAAGATGGAAACAGTTACAGCTCAATACAGACTTTCCCTGCCAATTCAAGGGAGCAGGAAGAGATGGAGACGGCTTCTTATCATGCTCCTATCCATACTTCCTATTTTATAATGCCTAGAGAGGGTTTCAAAATGATTTCAACTAGAATATAACACCGGGTGGTGGAATATACAAAACCAGATAATATGAACTGAACGCCAACCTTTGGGCGTCCATAATCACACTGGAGTGGACTGTAAATTTCAAATCTTTAGTTCTCAACTTTCATCATCCTTATTAAATGCTACCTGAACACCAAACTAGACAAAGCTATTATATTTTCATTGTCCTGTCAAATGTAATGCTCCAAAAGTACATTCTGTATTTTTAATATCTTTGGAGATACTCAATTTCAAAAGACAATACCAACTGTATGTGTACATTCATGCACACATTATAATAAATAAAATGACAATGATTCATTCTAAATTTCAACCTAAAATGTATTCTGTACTTTGCTATTTTTTTTCTGCCCATCATTAAAAATGAAAACTTTCCAAAGTGGCTTACATAAGAAAAGCAGTAATATTTGTCGCTACTTTGGATAAATTGTCCTGAAAATTAGTGGATCTTTTGACTGAGATGTGTACAAGATAACACAGTAAAATGCACTAAGAGCAACAAAATAACGAAAAGAAACAAAATATTTAAAAAGCTTATTTGGTAATAAAACTGTAGGTTTATTGACCTCGGTTCCCAATAATTTACACATAGTATTTTCTTATACAAAATTTTACGGAACTAAAATTTATTTATTTATTTATTTATTTTATTTAAATTTGTATACCGCCCTTCTCCTAGTGGACTCAGGGCGGTGCACAGCCAAGTAAAAAACATCCAATACAAAATTTAAAAATTTAAAAGAATTATACCCTTTGGCCGAAAATTAAGAACCTTATGACTAAAACCCGTTAAACAATTAAAAAATCTAATATCTCAAAAACGGGAGGGGGGGTTCACGCCAGCCCTGCTTGATGGAAGAAAAAAGAAAAAATACACATATATTCAGATCAATGATTTTGAACAGCATAAGAAACAGCATTGGCTGAAAGAGATGTTTTCAAGAGTTAGCAAAGAGGCCTCAGATATTCTTTAAATATTGCTTGAGGTGTCCTTGCTACTCTCTGATGATGTTACCTATTTTGGGTAAAGAAACATCTGCAAGAAAACAACCAAACTCAGAGCGCACCAAGGATCCTCATTTCAACCCTACTATCGGTTAAATGTTGCTTGTTCAAAATTGATCTCTGCATTTTAGTTATATCAGTAAGATTGAAAATAAGCTTCCTCTAAACTTCCTATTATTTTGCATAGTAATATTGAATATGGAAGTTTAAAATGGCTCTATTTCTTAAGATTTCGAATGTTATATACTTTTAAATAGTTTTAACTGTTTTCTTATGTTGTCATATTTCATACTCAAGGAGATATTGACACATTGTTTATTTTAGAGTAACCAAGAGATTCTACTCAGCTTCCCTCACCTGGACATTCTCTTCTGTGACCTCTACCTCTGCTGTGTAGATATAATCAATTAGTTTGCTTAAGGTTAGTCCATCAACGTCTTTGATCTCTATCTTCTTTGCTTTGCTTTCCGTCATATCTCCTGAAATGCAATTTTTAGACATTATTTTAAGAGGCAATCAGAGTCTGAGCTGGGAGAGTTATTATTAATGAGAGTTCCCATTAGGTTCCATCAGTTTATCATCCTTTTATTGAATACATTTGGGAAAGTGACCAAATTTCTTTTTGAACCAATTATTAGGGATCTATTGTTTTGAGAATGCCTGAGTGGTCAGAGATTAGGACTATACAATCTCCCAAATCCCTTCCATCTCTTTACAATCTGTAGAGTTCTACCTAATTTTGTACAAAAACAAAACCAAACCAACATGTTTCTGTTTCTTTTCTGAAATGATAAATTGAGTAATTTTTGTATGCCCTCAACACAGTTTTTATTCCTAGGAAGGGGGAAAATATTTTCTTGCCTCTCCTACACAAAAAGCGATTTTGTCTATTACTCAAAACGAGGCCAAATGCCGTGAATAAGACAAAATCCCTGCATTCCGGGCAGTAGATAATTCCTTTGGATTTATCACTAGTAAATTTTAATCATGGAGGACAACATAATTCCAACCTATCACTGGCAATGAATTTCCTCAGCAAATATTCTACCAAATCATTAATATATATGAAATGTGAACTTTATTCTTTTTCTGTCACACATTCAGATATGTAGCAAATCCTTAGCTCTTCACCGAGTAGTAAAATATTTGCCCATACAGTTGTATAATCTGCATTGTCATGGATTACTTTGTATTATCATAGCAAAGCATTTCAGCACAGAAACTATCCCTGTTGTTCACTATTGTGTTCCATGTCACCTGTAATGAGTGGCAACATCTAGCCAACATTGCCTTATCTGGAAAAAAACAACAACAACTGAAGATTGGTAATTTATTATCTAATGTAATTATCTGGGGAGGCTTTTTCATTTTCAAAGAATGTTACGCAGTAGATTTGAGAAAAAGGCAATAGGGAATATTCATGGGCGAGAGGGAAAAAGCACACCTGCTTTAAGGAGTTGCTGATAAAATGAACAAGAGCATTGAATATGTTTCAGAGCTTTTTCTCCCTTTGAATCTGCACAGCCATTATGGGCACATGCACAAAAAAAGAGGAACTAGTGTTTGTTTGTTTTTTAAAAGACCTTATAAAATTGGCGCATACTGTTTGGAAAGAACTACAAGCACACTGCAAGATATGTCTTAAAATAGCAAGAATATAATCTGCTTTCATAAACATCCCCCCATTGGTAGCAAAATGCTGTAACATTATAGGGCAGTTAGGATTAATTAGCAGTAGATCTATTAACACTTGTGTACTCATGTACTTCAAACAACGAAGAAATGGAGATTGGTCTCTTATTTAGCGCTTTGCAAACAACCAAGTCAGTCTGTACAATCGCAATGTTACAGCCATTAAAGAATACTTAAGTATTTTAAAGATCACTTCATACAAACAAAATGTTTTTAAAAACCTGGATTATATCTATCAAGGGTCATACATGTGCACATGCACACTTCCACTTCTTCATTTGCTCAAGCAAAAAGAAACCATGCCTTTTTAATGACTGTGATCAAAAAGTCAAAAGAGCTCATTATTAATTGTAAAATATAATGCTGATGGAACATAGTAACACAAGTAGGATGCTTAGTGAATTGTAGTCTGCAGAGGATTTACTCCAAGGGTGATATTACACTCCAAATGATTTTTTTTCTATTTTTTGGGATGAAGTCATAACCTCAGTTGCCATAAAGAGGTTATAACGTAAGGCAAAAAATGGAGGAGAGACAAAAGTTAATGGAGCTTGTATTTGTTTTAAATCAATGAGTTCCAGTCATCACCTTGATGCTCAAATAAGGGTCTTACCCTCAGTCACAAGTGTGTCCAGCCCATAGACCTAGACATCTAGTAATGTGGTCTCACAAGATAGCAATAGCAACAGCACTTAAGACTGATATACTGCTTCACAGTGCTTTAGAGCCCTCTCTAAGTGGTTTAAAGAGTCAACATATTGCTCCCAACAATCTGGGTCCTCGTTTTACCGACCTCGGACGGATGGAAGGCTGAGTCAACCTTGAGCCAGTGAAACTTGAACTGCCAAACTGCAGGCAGCCAGCAGTCACCAGAAATAGCCTGTACTACTGCATTTTAACTACTGTGTCACCCCGGCTCTTTACAATTCAAAAATTGTAAACTTTTAATATTATTATGTGATTTATATACATTAACTACAGGTAGTCCTCGATTTACAACCACAATTGAGCCCAAAATTTCTGTTGTTAAGTGAGACACTTGTTAAGTGAGTTTTGCCCCATTTTACGACCTTTCTTGCCACAGTTGTTAAGTGAATCACTGCAGTTGTTAAGTTAGTAACACAGTTGGTTAAGTGAATCTGGCTTCCCTATTGACTTTGCTTGTCAGAAGGTTGCAAAAGGGGCTCCCATGACTTTGGGACACTGCAACAGTCATAAATATGAGCCAGTTGCCAAGCATCTGAATTTTCAGCACATAATCATGGGGAAGCTGCAAAGGTTGTAACTGAAAAATGGTCATAAATCACTTTTTTCAATGCCGTTGTAATGTTGAACACACTGTTGTAAGTCAAGGACTACCTGTATATATTCCTCTTCAGTCAATGCAGCCCAGGCAAGACAAAAGGTTGGACATCTATGCTCTATCATCAAAGCCAGTCCAATAGCAGCCTTTATGCAAAGAACAAAAAAAACACCCTACACTAAGAAGAGTATATTGATTTTAACTTGCACTATCTCCACAATCAAATCCACAAATGAAGCTCCACAGCAACACACTTTTTAATAAAGGCTGTAGCTCCATTTAACATCCCTCATCCATATAACAGCATCCCATGTAACGCCACCAAGTAACATTCTCTTTTTACTCTTCCCAAAATAAGAATAGTTATTTGTTTATAAAACAAAGTTACCTGTAAACATTGCACAGAAATATGGACTGCAAGCTGCTAGGACAATACGGTGGGCTTCGATTTCAACATCTTCAGCAACAATTACCACGTCGCAAAGAAGCCGCTTGCTGTGAACATATCAACGATGGTTTCAGAATCAATCTGGCAAATACAGAACTATTACATAAATGTTAAGTAAATGTACGCTATAGTTGCCATGCTTGTTTACATTTTTATTAGGATCTACAGTATATGCCACCTTTTAGAATAAAACTTTCCAAATAATAAAAATTACAAAAATATAAACAAAATAATAAGAAAAACAATCATACAATAACCCAATTCCAATGAGTCAGTGTCATATATGCAGCGCCCCTGATCGAATTCAGTTTCAATTACAGGCTAAGGTAGTCATATAAGCTTTTAGAGGACTAGAGATAAGGCATAACAAACATCCCATGGAAAACAATGCCACAAGCAAGTCACTACTGAGAAATAGTACTCCCTTGTTCAATCTGGTGAAACGAATAATGAGCTACAAAAGCAGCACTCCAGTGCCAACTATTTATCATGCAGATTGGTCAACTGCTTTTCTCTTTGCAAATATGGGCAACTTAATGTGGGCTGGAGAGTGGTTGTACAGAATCTGAAAGTGTTATAACGTGACACATTGTAGTTGCATGCATTAGCAAACAACATTTGCACCATTTGAATTTTCCGAATGGGATAGACCTACCTACTGCACATTACAGAATGACAACCTAAAGCAGTCTCCAAGTTGGTAATATTTCAGAGTTATTGGAACAATTCCTAAAACGCTCAGATTCTAGTTTTTCAACAAAGAATTTGAGATGCAGCAGTTCCAATTCATCGAAAGCACTCCAGATTGGAGAGCTGCACTACAAAGCATGGAAGCTAAAATCAATCTAAGCTGGTAAAAAGCATTCCTAACTTTCACTGTTATCTTAGACTTCCTAGTTAATGTTGAATACAGAACTCAGTATTTGGCCCATCAGAAGTACAATCCAGATTAAAATATGGTGTAAAACTCACTCCAAAATAGGTAGTTTCCCAATCCCTACAATCTCTGACTTTCTGGATTTATTTTTCACTAGCTCACCTTCATCTGTCTCTAAACATCCTCTAGTTATCAGTTTTGTTTTTAAAGCTTAGTTTAGAGCAGGACAATTGGCCAAAAATAAAGATGAAGTTCATTTCAGCCTTATCCAACTCCGTGATTGTCTGGTCTACCCTCCTTAAACTGGTAGAGGTAGTCCTCGATTTACCACCACAATTGAACCCAAAATTTCTGTTTTTAAGTGAGACATTTGTTAATGCCCATTTTACGACTTTTCTTGCCACAGTTGTTAAGCTAATCACTGAAGTTGATAGGTTAGTAACAAGGTTAAATGAATCTGGTTTCCCCATTGACTTTGTTTGTCAGGAGGTCACAAAAAGTGATCACATGACCCTGGGACACAGCAAGTTATAAATATGAACCAGTTGCCAAGCATCTGAATTTTGATCACATGATCATGGGGATACTGCAAAGGTCATAAGTGTGAAAAATGGTCATAAGCTACATTTTTCAGTGCCGCTGTAACTTTGAACAGTCACTAAATGAATTGTTGTAAGTCAAGGACTACCTGTACTTCCATCAATATAGTTAACATCCACTTTTTTATATTATTTTGAATTTGCATTGCATAATTGCTGCAAGCTAAAATGGATGACCCCAAGGACACCATTACTCAATCTACAAGGCTTGTGGCAAGTAGCATCAGTTTCTTCATTTAAAAGAGAATTAGCACTGCTCCTATTTCGATTGCCCATTTACCCCCGTGTTTGACTTTTAAAATACAAAGATCAAGTTTCTTATTTATCTGATAAATATTATAATTATATATAATTATAATTCAATTATCCGGATTGACTACCGCAACGCTCTCTACATGGGGCTGCCCCTGAAGACCACTCGGAGGCTTCAGCTGGTGCAGAATGCGGCCGCGTGGGTAGTGATGGGAGTGTCCTGACGCTCTCATGTTACACCCCTCCTGCGCGACCTGCATTGGTTACTGGTTGCCCTCCGTGTGAGATTCAAGGTGCTGGTGATTACCTATAAAGCCCTACATGGCTTAGGACCGGGGTATTTGGCGGACCTTCTGCGGCCAGCAACAGCTCCCCATCGCCCAGTGCATTCCCACAGAGAGGACTTACTCGGGGTGCCATCAACCAGACAGTGTCGGCTGGCAACCCCTAAGGAGCGGGCTTTCTCTGTGGGTGCACCTACCCTCTGGAATCAGCTCCCCCTGGAGCTCCAGATGGCCCCCGACCTTTGCTCTTTCTGCCGCGAACTAAAAACGTGGCTATTTGGCCTGGCTGGCCTGGACTGATGGGGGTTTTTAAAATGGATTTTAATTGATTTTAGGGTTTTTATGTGTAATTTTTAACCCAGAGTTTTTGTTTTATTTTTCTGTTTTATTGTTGTGAGCCGCCCTGAGTCCTCTCGGAGAAAGGGCGGCATATAAATCTAAACAAACAAACAAACAAATAAATATCTACATAAAGGCTCAAATGTTCACTAAAAAAATCAAAACTTGTTTCATATACATGTATTTGAGTGGGCTCATCTGGGGATTAGCAAACATTAACAGATCAGAATAATCAATAAGTAAACATCATTTAATGATGTCTGAATTTTCCAGCTCCAGATCTAACAAAATGGCAGGTCAAATCAACCATCCATTCTTGGACTAGCTTGACAGGGAAGACTCCAGATTGCAGCTGACTTTTAATGTCAGCAGCACTAAGGAATCCCAAGCTCTATGGGCAGATGGTAGCATCAAGTCTCGCCAGCTAAGACTCTTCCTCTTTTCATGGGTACAGTATATCCCTTTCTTAAAGAATGTTACTGGAGGCAGACGGGCTTTTCTCTTTTTCCTGTCCCTACACTGATTCAGTGGCCCCTCAACACCTTTTCGACATAACCCTGCTTTGGCAATCAGCTGTCACCTACCACTTTAAAGTATTCAACAAATGCCAAACCTTAGTTCTGCAATGGCTTAGCAGCGGCAGCAGAAACAACAGCAGTGAGAATAAATCAGCGGTAAGCAGGAAAGGGAAGAAATGAGAGGGATTTCAGGGCAGCTGCAATGTAACTTGTTTAGAAGGGCGTCATGGGCAGCCTATATTATTAGTTCTTCATAAGAGGAAAGCTGTCAGTCTTTTCCCATTATCCCCCATAGCATTAAGTTACAAATAGAATAATCTAGTATTTTATCATACTAATCTGCTTTGTACCAAACAATCCAGACTTCCAGCCTTTCATGTTCTATGCCAGCAAAGAAGACGCAAAAGCTACTTGCTACCAAGGGACACGGGCAAGATAATTCACTCAGGACTGGCACCTTCCTAAACAGGACATGTGAATGCTTTTCCGTGTGTTCATGGCATGGCTGTGGTGTTATAAAGCAAGGTCTGTGTATCAATAAGTAATGGCCGATGATGAGCTGTTAAAACATTTTAGCTGCACGTCTATGAACTCATTGTAGGAAGAGAGCTATGTTAGTCTCTGGGGAAAACAAAACAAAACAAAACAAAACAAAACAGGAGCCCAGTAATACTTTTTCCTACTAACAAGGTTTCTTTAAAAAACATATTATTAAAAAGTATGGGAGTTAGATTCTTGATTTTTATGTGAACTCATAGGATAATGGTTCCGTGGGTGACACAGTCAAGGAATGCAACAGAGGTACCTCTGGAAAGGACTAGATCCATGTCCTGGCCATTTTCTTGGACAATATGTGGCAATTCAGTTAGTACCATTCTACAATACTGCACTTTACTATAAAGGCAGCCACCTGTGATTGCTGTAGAGTACCTACCTTGGCATTATTGGCCAAATTATCTTGCCTGCTCTTTTCAATTGTACACTATTGAAGTTTAACTGCATTATCTCAGAATGGAAAGCAGTGCTATAGAGTTTCTGTCCTTTGTTTGATTTTTTTTTTGTCCTACTGTTTGAATTTTCCTAGTCAGACGTAAGATCCTCCTGAGCCACGTCAGTGCTTGCTGCTGTCCACAACAGCCCCCACATCCTTTCAGCACCTGAGAAATCTGTTCCTGCCATCATGTTGCATTCTAGATGAGCATCTCCCTGCCCCTTTTGCTAGGGTTCTGTAGTTTATTACAACCAACATCAAACTAGCTACAGGGAAAAAAGAGAAGAAGCAAATATGTGGTTAGCGAGATGGAAGTGGGGAAGGAAGAAAATCCAGTAGCAGAGACAGAAGGCACAGGAGGCTATCAGGGCCCTGTAAAAACGAAGTAAGTCCTGGTTTGTAGATTCCCAAAGTTAGGTTGTTGACTCAAGCAAATCTACTGTTTATAATAGAATAAATAAATATATCTATATTGCTAAGGTACAATGTCCAACAAATTGCTTAAACAACCCTGTTATTTTGTACAACAGCACTAGTGATTGTGTCTATTGTGAAGCACCATACAATTTGGGCGATCCAAATGAAGAACTTCATATAAAGTACAGCAACTGATTTGAAGATCATGCTTGAATTGAACAAAGCGTTCTACAAGTTAGATGTCTCCAACTCCAGCCAGCAAGTGACTAATAATTGCACAGAGAGGCAAATTGAACATGAAGAAGTACCTCCTTAATTCATTCATGACTTTGAATGCCTTTCCCATATGACAAGGATTGATGGTCACTGTCCGCTGATCCTTATCTCCATCTGCCTCAGGTGTTTGGGGGCACCTCTTGATGCTGAAGACAAGAAAGAAAAGCAAGTAAACACTCCCTTTTAATTTTCAAGATCTAAGATAAAATATGACCTAAAAAATTAACATGAAATCAGTATCTCATTTGTTATCACGTTATAAGTGATCGCAAGTGTTTAGCTTACACAACCAGCTGTCCATACTATGTCTGCCTAGTGTAATTGGAATCCTATTTTAATATCTCAACTATGCCAAAGTGAATGCTTTTGATGTAACTATGTGAAATATGTGCTCAGAACACATGCACAAATTCTTTGCTTAAGCAACACAAGCATTTGTGAATAGCACGCATGAGGTTTTAAACAACTATGCACATATGTGTAACTTTTTAAAAAATATTCACATGGAAAGCTATGTATTTAACTCTCTGACTCTTAGATATACTAAGAATAAGGTAATGAAGGCAGATCAGTTTTTCTACCTAAATCTTGGGGAAAATGAAGTTATCATCCTTTTTGGTAAATAGTATGACATCTGGATTAAAAAGTAGAAAGTCAGAGCCACTGGAATTACAACTGATCTATTTATTGCACCTGGCAAAAAAAAACACTATCAGGAAATGTTTTTGTTTTTCCCCATGAAATACCCACATCCAGTGTATGAAACCAGGATTCCCAAATTTGAATGGCAATACAGTTAACAACAATCACTCTGCAGCCACAACCTGAAATAAAATATTCAGCACTTTATTTACGGATATAAAAAAAAAGCAGTTCATACATTGTTTCTCAATATTTCAGTGCACTCTCAAGGTCAAATGGAGAGGACTACTGGCATGAATGTACTACCTAATCCAAAAGCATCTGTTAATAGCTTTAAGGCAAGGCCATTTCTACTTACACTCAGGCCAGAAACAAACACAGAATCTTGCCAAACCAGTTCCATCAAAATAAAACAAAAAACACATTCACTGACAGCACTGGCCAATTCAGCTGTAGGTAAACTGCTTCCTGAAAAGACAGAAGGCTAATTGAACCATTCCCTAAAGAGAGCCGCCTCATGAGCCTGGGGAAGCAGCAAACCTACCCACGTAGCATCTCACAAAGCCAGCTTTCACTTTTAAACTGGGCCCTTAGCCACCATCAATAGAGGCTGACAACTGGGTGATTTTGCTTATGTATACAAGATACTGGAACCCTTCCTGCTGTTTCTCTGGGTTTTTTTTTTTTTTAAGGAAAGCAATTGCTTTCTGCCCTCTTTCCTATCCAGCCAGAAGTTTTCAGATCCAACTTCACATGCTCTCCAAAACTTGTCTCCCCTGCAAATAATCCCACGGGGTGTCTCCCTCTTCCAATACAGGTAGTCCTCGACTTACGACCACAATTGTGCCCAAAATTTATGTTGCTCAGTAAAACATTCCTTAGTTGAATTTTGCCCCATTTTACAACTTTTGCCAATTGTTAAATGAATCCCTGCAGTTATTAAGTTAATAATACAGTTAAGTGAATCTGGCTTCCCTGTTGACTTTAAGGTCGCAAAAGGGGATCACATGACCCCTGGACACTGCAACCATGATGATTGTGAGTCAGCTGCCAAGCATCCAAATTTTGATCACCTGACCATGGGGATGCTGCACTGTGTGTAAAAAACAGTTATAAGTCACTTTTTCTGGTGCCGCTGTAACTTTGGACTGTCGATAAATAAACTGTTGTAAGTCAAGGACTAAATGTATTCAATTCCCACAGGCTCAACAGAAAAACAGGCATTCCCTTCAAGGCTTCTCCTTAACCAGAGAAAACAGTCTGGCAATCAGGTAACTTCTACAGCATCTCCCAACCCTCACCCTTCACCCTTCCTAGGTCTGTGCAATGCATTAGCACAGGCTACCAGGCAAAATGCCCCACAATGGAGTTTTCTTCAGTGGATGGGGAAAAAAGCAATCAAGGTGGGTTTTATATGCTTAGGCTGGTAGGATTAGAATGATTGTCTTGTCTTGGATTGGAGAAAAAAGGGATGGCAAGCAATGGCAAATAAAATCATGGTTTATTAGAGGGAAAAAGAAAGTGCAACTGGACATTCAAACCTTTAGAAAAGAGGCATTCATTTATTTGTTGGCTTCCTTGTTTGTTTCCAGCCTTTATTATTTTTATAAGTAATTCAAGCTAGCAAAGTTACCTAATATTCCTTCCTCTTTTTATTTTCCCCACAACAACCCTGTGGAGTGAACTGGGCTGAGACAGTGACTGGCCTAAGGTCATCCAGCCGATTTTTCATGCATAAGGCGCATAATATTCCATCGCTACCTGTTCGCTCGTGTGCGCATGCATGTTCATGTGCACATGTGGTGCTTCTGCGCATGCACAGAAGCATCCGGGCAAGTGGGCAGAGCCTCCCGCCACCACCGCTACTGGTTCACATGATCCAGTGCGAACCGGTAGCAACCCACCACTGCTAAGGCAGGATTAGAACTCATACCCTTGTGGTTTTTAGGCCAGCACTTTATAATAAGTAGACCAACTTGGCTCTTGTTTGCTGGTGAGGCAACACCAATAACAAAGGCAGACAAGATGTTCAAAGAGCTGAGTGCAAAATTTCAGTAGAATTTTAAAAGCAAAATTACAGCAATTGGTCCAAAAGCAACTGATACACAGGACCCAAACATGAGAAGAAATGGGACATATTTCAGTAGGGCCTAACTGAACATTTTGCTTGTTCAGAAAAGTGGGGAAAATGTTACCACTTAGATAGAAAAACAGCTCTTTCTCCCCAATTCATGCTTTGAAAGCTTTAAAGTTACGTTTATGTGCTTTCAGGTTATTTATAGCACTTCCCTGAAGGGCAAGTAAAACACCCTTCCAATTAGACCAAAAGTTTTAGTAAAGCTAACATGCAAAAGTTTTTTCTTCAAACGGATCTCCTTAACAGGCTTACTCATTACAGGTAGTCCTCGGCTTACAACAGTCGGTTTAGTGATTGTTCAAAGTTACAACAGCACTGAAAAAAATGACTTATGACTGGTTTTCACACTTATGACCGTTGCAGCATCCCCATGATCACATGATCAAAATTCAGACATTGGGCAACTGGCATGTAATTATGCACTGTCCTGGGCTTACGTGATCTCATTTTGCAACTTTCTGACAAGCAAAGTCAATGGGAAAGTCAGAGTCACTTAACAACTGTGTTACTAACTTAACAACTGCAGTGATTCACTTAACAACTGGGTCAAGAAAGGTCATAACATGGGGCAAAACTTAATAACTCCCTTGCTTAGCAACATGAATTTGGGGCTCAATTGTGGTCGTAAGTCAAGGACTACCTGTAATTAATTGTGACCATTTCAATGCCAGGAACTTGGATTCAGTTTATGTGGTGCAAATGTAAACATACTTTAAATGTGTGCTGCTTTGTCCATAACAAACCCAACAGCTTCTCGTGGGTCATGAATAAAATGAAAGAGAACTGAACAGATGAACTAATTGGAAGGAAGCAAATGAGGATGAGTTCTAAAATAAGAAATGCCAAGTACAATATGATCACTATATTTTTAATTTTTTGGAACACTAATTGTGAAGCAGTTTGTTCTATTTCGATAGCAACATATTTTCTGAGCCCACAATTCTCATAATTCCCTATCAAAGTATAGCACCTAATGGGTAAAAAAGAAATGATTTACAGAGTATAACCATTTCCTAACAAAGCAAGGAGATTTTTTTTAGTGGGATTGGAATTCATAGACTCCACCCTATGTCCATGATCTACCCAGCAGGAATCCACAGTGTACAAAAATAAGAAGAAAATACAAAAAGAAATAATGGAAAAAATAAATTATGCTTTACTATTTGTAATCTCAGGAATGGAGACAGCCCTAATGTATGTACTGCCGAGTTCATAATGGATGCTCAGTTCCATTGCCGACTACAGTACAATTCACTTTTTCACCCCAAGGCTTATTTGAAGCAATGTTACAAAGGGTATTAAAATAGAAATATGCCTCTTTTTGGAGTGGAAGCATTTAATCTCAATCAATCTGCAGCTCACAAGCACTACTGAAATGCAATTGGATAATATTGAAAATTGGCAGCGTGGTGGTCCATCATTTGAATATTATTCCAGTATTTTAAGATTTAAGCTTCAACTGTTAAAAAACAAGAACCAAGACTCCCACACACACCATATAAAAAGTTGAAAAAAATCAGCCTCACACTCTTTTATGATGTACTCCATCATAAAACAATGTAGGCAGAAAAAATACTAACTAAAAGATAGCTCATGGCTGCCACAAAATAGTTGCCTATCCTTGCCTTGACTACAACAGCAGTCAGACATTTTTCCTGCTAACAAGTACCAATCCTCCTATAACCCAATTTTAAAATAGTCCAGAACTTGCAGGATTCTGACAATCTCATCTCCTGCAAAATCCCCATATGCTGTGAGATTATAGGCACCTAGGCTTAATTAGGATTTATTTTTTTCTCAAGATGTTTTTGGAAATGTAAAAATGATAGCAGCGAGCAAATCAAAATACTGCCCATGTAAATTTCAAATCAAGTAAAACAAAGAACCAAATACTTCAAATACTTTTCTAACAGTGCATTCAAGGCTCATAACAAGAAATGGAGTAGAATAAAACCATAACTTGAATTAAAAATTATAGTGTACCAAAACCACTGCTGTTTTAGAAATGGACTTAAAAAACAAGGAGAAGCATTCAGTTCCCAAACTCAGAAATAAACACTAATATAATAATGGACTAATGGAAAGAAACTAAAATGTCTGTTAAAGACAAAACATGCTCTTACCTGAAATAGTCTGTTTTACTGATAAAAACTAATAACTTTTTGAAAATAAACAGACACCAATCCACCAAACAACAGACTTTATCCATTGTTTGAATAGTATTACAGACTGAAATTTGGACAAAATTTTGATCTAGCACAGATTGTCCATTAAATCAAAGGTTTATTGTATTATTGTTTATTTAAAATGATTAGATCCAGAATGAAGGCCAGAAGCTTTTATACATTTTAGTAAACTTTTTTTCCC